CCGGCCCAGCCCTCCCTCCCGATTTTCCCGGACATGCCCGGCTTTTGGGGATTTCCCCCCGGACGGGGATTTGAGCCCCCAAAAGCCGGACATGTCCGGGAAAATCCGGACGTATGGTAACCCTACGTTTACATACCAGGACTTGAACCCACACGATTGGAAAATCAAATATACCAGATTCAATAACATGTTATCTAACCTATTGTGAATTACTATCTTGTGCACATTCTAAACCCAGCCCCCAGCCGAATGTAAAAAACAGGTGCTTGAGTCTTACCGTAGAGGCAAAGCAGCCTAGAGGCGTCCAGTAAGCATCTAGCAGACAAGTGAGGACTCTGAGATGATTCTGCATTTTACATGGGAAGGCTGACAGCATAATGCATCCTCAAGATAACACCTCTTAACTTATGCAAAAATGAGTGGTATTTTAAAGGCAAAGGCCAGAATTTATTTTAACTTCACTGCCAAAAGTGAAGTCACGTAAGAGAAGTGGACTGATTTTCAGAGGTTCTCCGTACCCACAGCTCCCATTTACTCCAGTGGGATTTGTGGGTGCGCAGCAAAACACACAACACCCCACACCCCCCCGCAAAGGGCTTTTGCAAGCAATGTGCCTTGGGACAAAAGAGGTTACTTACCTTACAGTAACTGGAGGCGCTCGGAGATGTGGGGTCCATATCAGTATTCCACGGTGGGTATGCATGCGTGCCATACACCTGGAGTTGGCAAATTCTTGCCAGCAGTGTCCATTGATCCTTGCCCATGCCCTAGCCTTCCTCGCGCTTCCAACCAAAGGCATAAAGGGCGGCGCAGTCTGACTGCCTCTCCAGTTCTTTTTCTACGACAAATCTAGCAAAGAGCCAAAGCAAAGGGGGGGGAGGGCGGATAGAATAGATATGGACCACACATCTTGAAGAACCGCCAGTTACTATAAGGTAAGTAACCTCCTTTGAGTGCTGGTCCCTATGTGCATTCCACTGTGGGTGGCTGACAAACAGTACTCAGGTAGGGAGAGAGTGTGAAGATGCAGGCAGCAGAGCGGCTTGGAGAACTGCTGTCCCAAAGGAAGCGTCAGTGGGGAGTTCTGCACTAGAGCATCGGGCCTCACAAACGTATGGATGGACCGCCAAGGAGCTGATTTGCAAATGTCAAGTAAGGGCACTTCCTGAAGCAATGCCACTGCAGTTGCTTTTGTAGAATGAATTCTCACCCCACGATGAGGAGGAAGATGCAACTAGTAACAACAGAATACAGCCTGAAATCAACTCAAGGATCCCCTGGGAGGATACAGCTTGACCTCAGACTCATTCTGCGATAACAAGAAACAATGTAGGTCATTTTCTAATTTGTTCTGTTCTTTGCAAATAGAAGGCAAAAGCTGGTCTCACACACAGAGAATGAAGTCTCTGCTGCTCTTCAGATGCACGGAGATTCAGAAAAAACAGATACGTGGACTGATTGGTTCGTGTGAAACTCCGAAACTACTTTGGGGGAGGAACTTTGGATGTAGTTGTAAAGAGACTTGGTCCTTATCAAATATAGTGTGTAGCACACCCACCAGTAGGGCTCCCAGCTCACCCACCTTCCGGCTGAGGTGATGGCCACAAGGAATGCAACTCTCATTGATAGTTTCGTTGATAGGTTAGACATGAACAGGTAGATAACGGCTCAAAAGGAGGCTTAGTGAGTACCATAAATAAAAGGCTTACATCCCAATGAAGAGTAGGTTTTCTTACTGGCAGGAAGATTCTGATTAGGCCCTTTAAGAGTCTGCTAGCCAATGAGTGAATGAAAATTGAATAATCACCTGACGGTGGGTGGCATGCACTGATTGCTGCCAGGTGGACTCGTATAGAACCGAGGGATAGCCCAGCTGTTGAGAGAGAAAGAAGATAGTCCAAAATAGGGGAATATCTGCTGACTCAGGAGATGTTTCTGTTGTGCCCAGACGGAAAAATGCTTCATTTGGCTAAATAGCATTTCCTAGTGGAGCCGTTTCTGCTATTATTAAGGGTGGTTTGTCCAGCTTCTGATCAGGAATGTTCTAATGTTGATGCCCATCCAAAAATCCAAGCCATGAGATGAAACGCTTTGAGGTTGGGATGCTTGATCCTGCGCTTCTCCTGGATCAAGAGATCAGGGAAGGTCTGGCTGATGAGTAGAGAACGAGATGACTATTGTAGGAGATCTGGGAGCCAACTGGGGGGAAATGGGGATGAATTGTACCCTGTTGTGACTTTGTAAGACCCAAGGTAGGAGTGGTAAGGGAGGAAAGGCATTGCTCAGATGGTCTGATGAGAGGAGAAAGAGCATCGCTCTGAGGGCATAGTCCAAGAGCTCCTCTGGAGCAACGTATGTTGCACTTCTTGTTTGTTCAGCCAAACAGATCCTGATTGGGGGTCACCCACTGAACAAAAATGTTATTTATTATTGAATCATGCAACTCCCACTCGTAACTAATGGGGACATATCTGCTGCGGGTGTCTACTAACACATACTGAGTTCCTGGAAAATAAGCTGCCAATAGGATGCTTCGATTCCTGATACACCAATTCCACAGGGTGACTGATCTCACTCCTCTCTGGTTATTGATTTATGAGGCAGTTGTCAGGTTGTCTGACATTATGAGGACATGGTGGGATAGGATGAATGGTAGACAAACCTTGCAAGCTTCTCGCGCTGCCTGGAGTTCCAGAAGGTTGATGTGCATCCTGGTCTCTTGGGACATCTAAGTACCCTGCACCGTATGGTTGTCCATGTGGGCTGCCCAGCTGAAGAGAGAGGGGTCTCTAATGATCATCTTGTCTGGCAAGGATAATAGGAAGGGGACGCCCACACATACCTGATGGGGATCTTTCCACCACACCAAGGAAGAAGTTACTTTGGATGGAATTATTACCAAGGTATTCATGCTGTGTTTGACTGGTGAATACACGCTCTGGAGCTACGCCTGAAGGCAATGCAGGTGAAGTCTGGTGAATGGGATAACATAAGTCCATGAAGCCATTGGCTCCAGAAGGAAAACAAGTTCTGACTGGAACTCAAAGATTACCTATAACCTGATCTAACCTTATCTATTAGCGTGCTCCTGGTGCCAAACCTGTCCCTTGGGAGAGGAACTCTCGCCATGACTGAATCTAGAGTGGCCCCTATGAAGTCTATAGTCTGTATGGAGTGAGGACACTTTTCCAAGTCCACACTGACTCCTAGGGAAGAAAGTCGTTGAAGCATTGATGAGGCTGACTCATAGGCTTCCGGATATGTTTTGCCAACGAGAAGTCAACCATCAACATAAGGGAAAACAGTAAAGCCATTCTGTCTGAAAAGAATTGCTACTACCAGAAAGATCTTGGTAAAGACCCTGGGGGGCAGTGGTGAGGCTGAATGGGAGGACCCTGTATTGAAAGTGGTCAGGGCCCACATTGAATCTGAGAAAATGCCTGTGGACGGGGTGAATATCCATGTGAAAGTACATGACCTTCATATCAAGAGCTGTAAACTATATGTCTTTTTCCAGGGATAGGATATTGATGCCAGAGCAACCGTGTGAAATCTCAGTTGGTGAATAAAGTGGTTGAGATTACAGAGATCGAGGATACATCTCTGTCTCCAACTACCCAACTTTTAGGGACTAAGAACTATGTAGAGTTTCCTTGGTGTTGAAAAGGTGTGCACTCTATTGTTCCTCACTGGAAGAGGGATTCCTCGAGAGAATGGGGGTTTTGGAGAAGGTAGGTAAGTAAATTCGATCGCATAGCTGGGATAGATGATATCTAATACCCACTTGTCTGCTATGACACTCCAGTTGTGGAACTGGAGTGCTAAACAATCCCCAAAGGGTACGGGGGGGGGGGGTGGTCACGTAGAGGCATCATAAATGGCTTGCAGCTCTTGAGCTCCTGTCACAAAATATCTTTTTACTAGGGGATAAGATTGAGACGGTGCTGTAGGCATGGGAGGTGCAGGAAAACGAGAGGTCTGTACTCTTTGTCTCTTACCAGGAGGGTCATAAGACTGCTGGTGAAATAATTATTGAGATGCCGGTCTAGGTTTGTAAGGCTGCCTGTGATGCTTCCCTTTTAGGGCAGTTGTATATATTCTCACGGAGCAGAGGGTGGCCCTGGAGTTCTTTAAATTATGTAAGGACTCATGAAGGAAGGCAAAGGCACATGCACAGAGCAACAAATACTGCTTGCAAAAATTCTCTGACCCCAGGGGCATGCAGTGCATGCGTTCCCACAGTGGAATACACATAGAAACCTGCATTCAAAGAGGGAGGACAGTTATGGTCAGTGTGGATGTGGTCCACCAGAACGTGTGGCATATGTGCCCCAACTGCCCAGTAGAAGTCTGAGTAGAGCCAGAATTCTTTATTCCATCCCCCCATCACGAATAAGGTACAGAAATACACGCCTAAGAGGAGCAGAATGTCTTGCTTATGTTATGTCACATGTCCAACACATAACTGAATATACAGGCTTTTGTAGTAGACCCAAAGGAACATCAGTCTCAGATTCATGTATTTATTTTGAAATCCCCTGTACTTCTGCCAAAGTGTAAGGATCTGGGGAACAAGGTCCTCCAGTTCCCGTCACTTCTCCATCACAAGGCTTTGCTGCATCAGAGCTAGAATCGTGGCAGCACCCGTAGGGAATAGACACCTTTCTGCTCCAGACTAAGGCTAAGCAATCCAGGCTGGGCACTTTTTACGTCCTTTCTGTGTCTCCCCAGTTTAATTCCCTTGCCTCCCTGAACTGCCTGCAACAAAACCCTAAGTCCATAAGGATCTTGGTGAAAGCAAAAGTTTCATAAAATATTGTTTTGGTTCCAGGTTTGTGCCTGGGTTTTTAAAAAACCTGTCACGCTTTTGGGTGTCGGCTGGACCCCTCTCAAAACACATTCTACCTTAACTTTTCCTAAACAAAGTTCTTTGTCCTGGAATATTTAAATGTATTTCCACTCTGCAGTATGGAAAGGGTCTCAGCCTCATTCATGAAGTGATGTTTCCAGACTCAGAGCAGGACAGATATGGTAGTGGCAGGAACATTGTTTGCAGGCAGAAGATTGGCAAGAAATGAAAGTGTCACCATAGAAGAAATGCTATCAGCACACCACGCTGCAAGCATGCAGCACTGGAAGATCTCAATAATGAAGCAGAAATGCATCACTATCCTTAGTAAGGTACAAGCTACAGCCTCGACAGGGCCTTCATCAATCCATGATGCAAGACTAAGGTCACTGTCATTGTTTCCAGATATTAATCTGGTGCGTGTATATGCACACACATGTCCCTTACTCAGCAAGAGTGCATGGAGATGGGGCTGAGACGAAGCCCACTGAAGCCAATGGGAGTCATTCTTTTTCAATGGGCTCTGAATCGAGCCCGAGATGTGTGACCGGGGGAATTAGAGAAACATTCCTGAACACTAGTAACAAAAGCTATGAAAGTACACGCTGTCCATTTACATTTTTATTTCAAATAGCTTCAATCATAAAAAGGATTTTACAAGGCTATTTACAATTGTAATGTACAGTTATGCATGTGTGCCTCTTTGACAACTGGGTACCATTCTAGAGCAGCATTAAGTGTTTTTAAATATAAAGATGCAGTATCACTTGTGATTTAAACTAGCTTTTTAAAAATAAGAGGAAGGTTAGCTTCCAGAGAATGCTAAAATCACGAGCCTTCTATTTTTGTTAGTTTCAAGGAAGTCATCACCTAAACCAAGAGTAGTTTCTGGTTCAAAATTATCAAACAAGCTGCAATTCATTGAAAATAGCTGTAAAAACCTGAAGCTATACTGTATAAAATTAACATATTCAGGACTCTAAAAATTGTCAGAAAACCACCCCTTTCCCTCAGACATACAAAAATCTAATTTTAGAATTCCAAAATTTCATGGGAGAAATTCTAAAGCACTTCCTAAATCTTGAATGTTGTGATGATCAAGGAAAATACTAAAAAATTTGCAGCATAAAAAAGCATCCTGCCTGTGTTTAATGTTAATATAATATATACATAATACAGTAGAGGATTATTTACCAATTTCAGATGAACTGGTTCAGCACAATCTTCATAAACACAGAACAAGAAATAAAATAAATAGAATAAAAAACTGTGACCATTTTAAAAATAAAAGTGCAATTGTAAAAGTTCCCAATTTAAAGTTTACAAATGAATCTAAACAATCTTTACTTTGTGGTTGGCTTCGCCACTTTGACTCAAGCATTATTTGCAGCCTATTTTACAGCAGACTTAGTTACATAATGTCTGAAATCTACAGTTACCACTAATTATATCTGAAGGGAAGGAGAACTTTAAAAACAACCCTGAGGGATACACATTTTAAAGATCTGGTTATTTATTTAAAAATTTTTAAAAGTTACATTTATTATTTAACAATTGCTTTCCTGGGTAGACCATTCTTTTAAGTATGTGCATAAATAATATTTATATCAATTATATTTACAAATCCTAGCACACTGAAGAAAGACATATACAGATTTAAATTTAGGTCTGTATACACTTAAATAATTTAATAAGAAAATCTGAATCAGACTCTTCAGTGTGAGGCTGAATTATAGAATAGAAAGAAAAAAGACCATCAAGAGTATTTAGTAGGACCCACTAAATAGTTCTGTTCATCTGAATTCATTAGCTTTCAAGAACAATTTACAAAAAGGTTTTTTTAAAGCACAAATTCTGAAGTCCAACATACTTCAACATATGAACTGAACTTGCTAATTTGGGGCCAGATCTAGTTTGCTAGCTTTCTGTACACCTGACAAACCACATCTTCCTTTCAAAGTGATACACAGGCAAATAGGGCTGAACCCTGTCCTGAGGTAAGAAGGTGCAATTCCCAGGGACTTCAGTAGGAGCTGTGCCTACTTCCATGGCTGTATTTGAACCCTCGGAAGTACAAAACCTTGCAACAAAAAGAAAAATTTTAAAGGATTTTTTCCCAAAAAAAAGACAGCTGATCGGTTATTCTTACCAATAGCTCACTGCTCTTGGTCCAAGACCCTTGCTGCTCCGTCATATGATGTCAAAAGCATCCACTAATTTTGGTGCCCAACTTGAACATAGCATCGGACTCTTAGAGGTGCTGAGACCCACAATTCCATCTGGAGTCAAAGAATCCTGCAGGTGCTCTGGACCAGTTAAAATCCTGCTCTCACTTTCACAAGCCATGACCCAAAAGTCATGGACACACTTGACAATTTTGGCCCTAATTAAAAATATTAGAATACTCTTTAAACAAACTCACTGCTCCATAAGTAGTTTACTCCTTATTATCTGGATATTTCTAATGGGCTGGTACATGGAATAGTCTCATCACAAATGAAAGACTGACTTTAACATCTGAATGAGGACAGACTGATTAGCAGTTTGTGGGAAGAGCACTGAGCAATAGTACTTGAAAGATGCAGACCATGTGCACATTTCTCTCTTCACTTTTGACTGAACAAGCAAGTTAAAATGAATTAAACTAACTCAAAACCCCCTGTAAGTTAACATTTAAACAAATATAGGATGTGGTCGTAAGTCACAGCTCCAAGGTCCAAGATGCATAGCTTCATGGAATCTTTCCACTAAAGTAAAATATTTTCTATAAAGGGGAGATATAAAGAATATTCACTCAGCTAGCAATATTCTTTCCCCCCAAATTCCACACTAATGAGATATTTCAAAGACTCAACAGTGGCAACGTCAGTAGCAGTGATCCAGTTTTTACACTCTTCTAAAGTTACAAATATTGTTTGAAGTTTAACAGTATAAAAGGCAGGAAAAGGACAATTCTGGTCTGCACTACTGATTAAAAGCTGGTAAATGCCTTCCCAAAATAAAACAGGAAGAGAGCTGTCAGTTGTCATAGGGGATAGTACACCACAAGCGTACTATTCATTCATGAGGAGTAACTGTTAATGTAACTGCTAATCTTCACAGTCCTAGAGGAACCCTCCAAACCATTTATGCCCCAATTATTAATTCCAACATTGGCATGGCATGTTCAACACCGTCGAGGCAAGGAGGATATTACCACACGCTGCCTTATACGAAAACACAAAGGAAATAGGCCTGAGCTGCAAAGAATCCTAGAGAATGAGACCCTCCCTAGATAACTTTAACAAGCTATCCCCTGGATTTTATAAAGGGAAAACACTCCCTAGAGTGAAGTAATTTCCACAGTTTTCATTCAGCCCTACATACAATTCCACAGGATTTTTCGTGTAAGGGCCAGAGCTGGATTTCTGGTGTCCTCGCCCAAAGTTCAGAGTTGCTTAGATCAGTCAATTTCACGTAGTTAAAAAAGGCAGTCCAAATTTTAGCACTTTTTATTCTTTCAAAAGAGCAATAAGAACTGACTGGAGGAGTTTTTCCTCAATGTTTTACTGTTTTATTTGGTTGCCAAAGGCTTTGGGTTTTTTACCCATTTTGATAGGCTTCTAAAACCCAATATTTTTGAAGTTGCTGCTGCTTGCTGTCTCATATTTGCAATTTAATTTTCCAAGTGGCTTAGTACAATGCTCTTTGGCACCACCTCATGGTGAAACTGTGCGCTGACACTTTAAGCATTCATGGCACCACTGGGTGCAAAAGATTTAAAAAAAAAAAAGAAAAGAGAGAGATCCAAGGCAGCCCAGTAATTTTATAACAGGACCTGGATTGTGGCTCATCTGTTTCCATCTTAACATTGCTGCACACAACTACATGGTAATTAAGACACTGGTAGACCAATCCTTTGGTATTCATAAGCCCTTGGTGCCCAGGATTAGTATTTGCTAATGCTAAGGGCACGTGAAAACCATTTTCTGCCTCCTAGCAGTAGTTCTGGCCTTGCTGATGCAAAGGTATTAAAAATCGCTCAAATGATACAAATAAAACCTGGTCTGATAAAAGTAATCAAATTCCTTTGTTGGACAGAGTAAGAGCGTATGGAGCCACCAGTCAGTTAAATGCAATAAAAGTAAGATGTAAGGGAAGAATTATTTGGCCTGGGTTCTTCAGCATCCCCCTTCTCAAAGACCCCAACAACCTGTCCTTCTGTAGCCTATGACAATTCAGGATTAGCTGAAGAGGAGGGTAAGAGGAGATTGATGCGCTTCCTTCCTCCTAGGGACTGAGCACACAGTTTTTACTGCATTCCCAGTACCTGCAGGGTCAGACTTAAGGACTAGCTGCAAGTCCAAACTCTTACCTGTCCCTCAGCTGGAAACGCTCTTGAACTATTAGGTACGAATCTGTTTTTAGTCCATGTGAAGTAGGAGGGATACACACTAAAACTCCAGGATCATCTTACAGTCACAATGCTTTCTGATAAAAAGTGAAGAAGAAATAACTGACAACCCTTTCCATGTGGTTTCTGTGGGTCTCTAGTACTGCTGTGACAAGGCTGTGTCAGACAGCACACTGCGCTCACACTGGTGTTGGAACACAGGGTGGAACAATTACCACCAAATATCAACATTCCCCAAATACTCAAAGGACCCTGTTTAACTGCCCTGCAGTTTAAACCTTTAAATACAGCTCACTTTGGACAAGTGAGGCTTCAAAATTTAGTAAAAAAAATGTTTCTTCTGTTATATGTCATCTAGCTCAGTGTTTTTTATGTATAATTTGTACGATGTCCAGCTCTGAACTTTGTATTCAGAGACCAAATAACCAGAAATGTTTGCACTGGGAGAACACTTAGCATGCTGCAATACTAAATAAAGCCATAAAATTACATAGCTCTGAATACTGCTAAAGAAACATACCACTGAGATTCATTGTTATGTTACAGTGATTATTGGATATGAACCATTTTCCTGGGTTGGATCTTTAGCTTCTGTAGTTGTTCTAGGTTTTGGTGGCCATTCTGGATCAACCAACAGTTCCTGAGCTAAGTGCATGTACTTGGCTTTTGGAATCTTCTTTCTGCAGCCAAACAGGGAGGAAAGGACGCACCCTCTCCAGCGATCCAAAGGCTCCTGCAGACGGGACAGGGAAATGAACAGATCTGAAAACTAGGCTGCCAAGAGCAAAATACTTTAAAACCACATCAGAAATTTTACAATGAGACATCAGAAACGAATCTGACTCATTATGAATTGTTTTAGTTTCGGATTCAGAAATTGTTGTCATTATACAGGATCAAGATAGTGTGGTGCAGAATCTATATATAGGGCCGCCTACCCCCTCTTTTGCATTGTGGCAGCAATGAGATTTTAAAAGGTACAAATGCAAGGCAAAAATAAGATTCTGCATCATAGTATCTAGGTCTCATGCACCAGCAATCATTTTCATGTACATTTCAAAGTGTTCATAGTACTGCCTATAACTGCACTGTTTCAGAGGAACTAGTCAACTCCCAAAGTAGACTACTGAGGAGTAATGGCCTTAAAACACTTTTTGTGATGTAACTGTGTCTGTTTGATGCCCAAGTTTTGGGGGAAAAAATGTCTAAATATTTTACACGTATACACATTTGTTCAACGGTATCCAACCAACAACAAGCAGTAAGCAATTTAAACTAACCATGCCTATCTGACAGTGTGTGCTATCAAAAAGCATGCAAAGCAGTGAATTAGAAGTAATCTGCTAGCGTGTCGGAATAAATCACGCCATGTTTATTTTTATTTTTTTTAAAGTCTTCCTCACTCCCCTCATACTAAATAGGCAATACATGAACCTTAGAAATTTTACTCCACTAACTGGAATAAATAGACAAACACACTGCTATCATTCTCAAAATATCTGGTTCCTCCCATTTCTCAGTCTACTGTGTTTACTGGGTATGGCTGCCGTTCTGGTGGATACAAGTGATTGCTCTTATGCGCCGTGGCTTAGATTTACCCTGTGCAGAATGCTAGCACGAGCCCTAGGCATCACTGCAGTTCTCAAAATCAGGGTCAATTTTGACTGAAGCAATGGCTGGGCCTCGTGCAGGTTCTCTGCCCAGAGGTAGACAAAAGCTATAAGGCGTTAAAGGTAATAACCAAACCAACAGTGTTTTACTACATTGCATTTTCCATAGACAGTAGCCTCCGGCTGGTACCAAATGCAGTTTGCTGACTATCTCTTGAGGTGGAAGAGCTGCCGACACTGTCACCTTCTACAGCAGCTTAAAAAGGAGTGGTAATTCACCATGTCTGTCATTTTGTTTCACTTTGTTTGTAAGTACCATAAATTACTGATCACACAGAAGATGCTCCAACACCTTTTGAAGTCAATTTAATTCATTTCATTGGGAGCTGGATCAAACCCACAGTTAAGAACCCTGATTTCATGAGAATCAAGACATTTCTAGTCTTACTCTACTGATCTGCTGATATGCAGACTACTACTAAGTGTCTGGAATGAACATTGGTGACACTGAATGTGTCAGTCCCTGAAATTTTAAGTGTGTCATTTTGGAGTGAAAAAACAAGTCAATGGAAAAATTAGAAAGGCCTCACACTGTTTCTCAAGTCCTGTAAGTGAAGCTAAATGTACACTCACCTGCTTAGGACACGTTTACAATAATATTTAAAGATGCTTCTGTTAAAATCCCTTTTAATTGTAAAGTTACAGAAATATGATAAAGACACTATTTAAAAACAGGTTTATACAGGCAGAAAACAAACACACACCCATAAACCACTACACAATGCATGGTACAAAACTAAATTAATCTGCATACAGTTGAATGATTGACAGCAAAATACTGGTCTCCAACCTGAGGTGGCTGGGGTATGGTGAGGCGATATTCTCCTTGTTTGTCTCGACTGAACACAACCTTCCAAAGGATCATATCAAGGAGGATATTCTGTGAGACATTGCAGTGAGTGGGAAGAATTAAAAAGACTAATGATCATTTGTTGTTAGTGTGCACATAAAAATAAAATCTGAAACGGTGATGTAGGCATAATTAACTCAGTGCAGAACTAAACTCAGCTTTCATTTGACAAAATTTATTTTTATTAGTATTTAAGAGAGAAACCATCTTCAGTATTTAAGTGCTTCCATGAGGGTTTTAAAAGCACAAATATATGCTTTACATTAATTGCAATAATTATGACAACTGCATTTACACAAATAGGAATTTTTTTTTTTAAACAACAAGTTTTGACACTACTATTTTAAGAATCTCCAGTAAGCACTGCAAGTTCTAAGGAAGCTTTAAATTAAGATTCTTTTCTCAAATCATGTTCTGCATTCTGATTAGTCTGACATTTTGGGTATTTATTTAGCAGTGCTGATCACAGACCAAAGTTAGTTATTAGAAACTGGTCAGGGTTTTGGGAGGCACAGGTGCGGATGGCGTGCTCAGAGGCGGAGGGACTTGGTGAGTTGTGTGTCTAGTCTGTCTGTTCTCTAGGAAGGTTGCGTGGCTGGGCTGTGGACCCCTGTCCAGGCTAGGTGAGATGGGTCTGTGTGTGGCTGCAACCCTGTGGTCTTTGAACAGCCCCAGGGTTTGAAGAGTCCAAGAGGTTCACCCCGCCCGGTTAAAGGGGGACAGAGCTGAGCAGTGAAGATTAGAATATAGTCAGTTGCCAGGTGAACTCCTGAGGCAGGCAAATAAGAGTGGCAAGTTGGTGAGTTTTGGAGGGAGTCTGGCTCCTTCTGTTGGAGGTATAGCTCTACTCCAGGTAGCAAATATGGACAATAAGGGAACAACTGTGTCCTGCCTCAGACATGCTACGTTTACTTTTCTGTCAGAAGACCAAATAGATCTCTGGTGCATGAATGCAAGCTGGGGGCCATACTATAGGAGAAAATATGTGGTCTGGAAGCACAAGTTTCAACACTTCTTTGACAACCACATTTGGAAATCATTACCACAGACACAACAAGGGGAGGAGTCTGTGAAAGGAGAACTGGAGAGAACAGAAACCAAAGAAATGGGCTGATGATTCATGACAAAGAGCAGAGAGAAAACCAGGAGGCATTCAACCCAGCTAAAAGTACTCATTCAGTATCAGGTACTCAGTGAAGCAACTGTAGAGGAACCTGTTTCCAGAGGAACAGAACAGAAAGCTAAAAGGGACATGCCTCATGGGCATCCTTGCATTATGAAGCAAGCAGCTACGAAGACAGGTTTTTCACCTGTTTCAAGAAGACAAACAATCCTCATCAGTGACTCCATATGAAGAGTGGACACTGAATTTAGCAAAGGACACAAGGAGAGCAGGATGGTGTGCTGTCACCCTAGGGCGAAAATATGAAATGAAATGCAAGAGGGATGGGGTTATTAAATCTTCTGGCAAGTCTCCACTGGTGGGGATACACGCTGGTTCCAATACTATGGCATCCCACAGATTACAGAAAACTTCAGGGACCTTGGAAGGGAGCTGAAGAGGAGGAACGTCCAAGTTATCTTCTTGGAGAGCCTTCCAGTCCCAAAAGCAAGAGAAGGCATAAAATATTGGACGTGAACCAGAGACAGTGCAACTGGTGTGAGGCTGAAGGCTTGGATTTGTGGAGGACTAGGCCATATTCCAGTGACAGACGGGGCTATATGAATGGGACTAGCATGCATCTCACGGGCAGCTAATCATCTCTCTTAGACACTAGCTGGAGCCAATGAGGGGGAGAGGGTATTAAACCAACAACACAAGGGGCAGGTGCTAAGGGGGCAAATGCGGTATCTCAAACTCGGTGTGTCATGAACAAATTGAACAGATGTGAAAATGTGAAGAGCAACTCTAAAAGAATTTAGGGGTCTTAGTGGACAAACAGCTGAACATGAGCTCCCAATGTGATACTGTGGAAGAACGGGCTAATGTGATCCTTGGATGTATAAACAAGGGAGCAATAAGTAGGAGCAAGGAGGTGATTTTACCTCTGTATACAGCATTGATGAGACCAATACTGGAATATGGCATACATTTCTGTGGCCACATTTTTAAAACGATGTTGAAAAATTGATGATGATGCAGAAAAGAGCCACAAAGCTGATTCAAGAAAATGCTTTACAATGAGATATTTAAAGAGCACAATCTGTTTAGCTAATCAAAAAAAGAGAGGTGACAATTAGTGTGTAAGCACCTTCAGGGGGGAAATACCAGGTATGAAAGGACTTTACTCTAGTAGTGAATGGCAAGACGAGAGCCAATGGCTGGAAATGGAACCCAGACGAGCACAAAGTAGAAGTTAGACACAGGACAATTAACCATTGAAACAATTTATCAAGGGAAGTGGTGGATTCTCCATCTCTTGAGCTCTTCAAATCGAGATTGAAGCTGTTCTGGAAGGTATGTTTGAGTCAAACCCAATTTACTGGGCTCAATACAAGGATAACTGGGTGAAATTTAATGTGATATACAGGAGGTCAGACTAGAGGATCTAATGGTCCCTTATGCTGTTAAGGATCATAAGTGTGACTCAGTTTATCACATAAGGATAGTGACACACACTAAAAAAATCAATGTCAGAAGTCTGTGTTCAACATAGTTCACTGCTGCTGTACATTACATTGAATTCAATAACGATGCTTAACTCAATTATTCCTTATTATATTAATTATCTGTATTATGAAACTTTAAACTTTGTGGCCTTAACCTTGCCTGAAAATACATTAGAAGTACAAACGGAACTGTACTCCATCAGCATTTTATATAGGATGTACTTGTAGCCCAGGAAAAGGCTACATGGAAAAGACCACTTGTTAATCTGAGCTACTTACCTCCACCAAGAGGGATACAATTGCATTGATGATGATGATGATGAGAATTGTTATACGCCACTCATATGGTACACAAACTAGCTGCAAGACAAAGTTGTCACAGGTGACCAATGTCCACTGTATGCATTGAACAATTACACACAATAAAATGTGTACATATGAAATAAAGCAAATTTGAAACAAGCTTGGTTGTAAACCTCAAATTTAACTCCTATTTTATTGCTTAAACACGACTCTTTGTGATAGGGCAAATAATGCTTATCTGCAGAGTGCATTTGGTAGTCTCACCTACCTCTCATTCTACAGTATCTTGCTGAGAAATTGTTAAGGGTTTTAAACACATGCTTCTTCTGCATTAGTTAGATCTAAAGGGATTTTTTTAAAATAAAAATTAAAAAATGGTGAGACTAAATTTATATTTGGCTCTCATTTGACTCTATAGGTATATGCCAGATTTTCATTAGGCTTGTCTTCTGGTAGAATCTGAACTCTAGCTTTCAAAGGATCAATCTAGTCAATGGGAACTTTAGTCTGGAAGAGAGGCCAGCCAACTTATTTTATGAGGTATGAAGTGTATATACCTGCTTGTTGAATCTTACCTCAAGAACCCTGTCAATGGATTCAACTGGATACAACATGATGAATAATGTGAAGATATAAATAACTATCACAGATATAACAAACAGAACTGTAAAAAGAAAAAGAGAAATACAACATTAAACATACTGTCATGCTTCGCTTCTGCATATATATCTATTACAATAACCCCTGAATAACAGTTCACAAAATGTATTTTGCATTGGTAGACCATATACAAGTACATATTACATGAAACAGTCTTGGATTTCTCACCTGTAAAATTATACTGCAATGATTTTATTGTATATGCAAAAAAGCCACCTTAAACATCTGGTTAATTCTCATTACCTTATGAAAACAATGCAGCTTATGTGACACTTAACTTACAAGAAGTTTTCCCCTTTCACAACAACAGAATATACATCTCAAACCACATTGCAATGGTGGATATAATCCTCATTTCACTTTAGTGCGCATGCACATACGTGTATGTGTGTGTGTATATTTTTTTTTCCTCCATTAACCTTCTAAAACAATATGTACCATACATATAATTTTAGATAAATACAAAATGACTAAATTACAGGAGTTCAAATCAACCACTGCCCTAGCAACAAAAAGTTACAGATTTTAGATTACACTTTTTTGCACTCCCAAGAAAAGACCATTTTTAAAAAGTAAGTTTTGAGGCCCATAATGCGACCAGAATCTTTCAGAATTCTGAAAAACATTAAAGCAACTGAATCTAAATCTAAAAAATCTGCAGGTGAGATTTCTAAATACACAAATCTATCTTAAGGATATTAGCAAGCAGATTTAGTGTATGTAGCAAGCACACAGTCCCCACAGATTTAAGAAGTGAAAAATGTTATTATTCCGTGTCTTAAACAAAACAGCAATGGAATGCAGGAGTATTCTGCTACCAAAATCATTGCGTCCATAGAGAAACCTCATTCAATACAGTGGTAATGACTGTATTTAGGTGGTTTTCCCAGAGAGAGCATACCATTTAAATTTCATGCATTTTACTTTAGAAAAAAAAAGTTAAAATTTGTAGAATGTGAGAATTTCTGCATTAACCTTCCCAAATTCCCAGAGGAAATCTTGAATATTCTACAATACTGCCCCATCTATTTTCACCTGAGAAACTATCCCCTCCCTCTTCTCTTGGGGGAACCCCACATTCTTGCAGCAGCAAATCTGTTACTGCAAAAGCAGCACAACATGTGCCTAAGCAAATGTGCTAAGTGAACAAAATATGCCTATTGTTATTTGGAATTCTTACTTAGAGAAATACAGAGGAATTGTATATAATGAGAAGAGACTTACCATTTCTGTAGCAAGGCTGCCTAAAGGGCTTCCCTTTAGAAAAGACAATTGCCACTATGAGGTACTGAAAGCTGGAGATAAAAAACACCGTTGTGTTTTCATAGTTTTTGATATTGTGCTCATCATGAAGAGTCTCATTCTCATGTTGGGAGGAACTGGTGTTTGTGGCTGCTGATAAGTTACATGCACTGCAACACAGAAGAACATTCAACACGGAGTCAAAGTAGAGGATTACATTAAGTTTTAGCCCTGTCTTTATTGTGAAAATAATTCCAGTATAAATTGCTACAGAGGTTATGGTGGGTATATTTTAGACATTTTACTACAGTTAATGAAGTAATTCAGAAAGGCCTTTGTGTTGGGTGGTGACTGAGGTCATGCACTGGAGTTTCTTTTGTGCCCCGTGAGTTCTGAATTCTTTTGGGTTTCCATTGTGTCAGTTAGTGATACGAATTGTATAGGACTTATTGTTCTACTGCCTGTAGAGGCTGCAGTAAGTGAATTTTACAAACTGAAAAACAAACAAAGCGAGACGGGTATAAATAATGGCCTGTAGCCCAGTTTGCTGCTGCTTCATAACAGGATGATATAACTTCATTATACAGAGCAGAAATAGGCATAGAAACCATGACGTTTGGATCTGAAAATTGCTCTGAAGTTCAGGGCTCTTCAGATTCAAGGCTCCAGTGCAGGCCCACTTCTACCAATATTAACAGCTGGAAGTAATTGCTAAGACTCTATCTTAGTACACAAGACTGTCATACAAACGTTATTACTTCCCCGTCCTTTCCACCCTCCACATAGTGACGTAAACATTGACAGTCCATCTCTGATGCTCTCTTGTGGTCCTTGCAGCCGTTCCTTATGAGGAGGTCACAGAACTCCCCCAGTACATTATCTTCAACCCTTAGAATACGATACCGTAGTGTTGTACACCGTGGTACTGCAGCTCAGTGAAACTTCTTCTGTACTTCCCCTCCTCTAGCAGCCCAATCCCATAACACGGGTTTCACTAATCCTCCTAACCCGCACAAAATGAAGCCCATTACGCCGCTGGTCCTGATCTAACTTCCTGAGCATGAGACAATTATTCCTCTTCCCCCAAGAGGACAAATCATCTCTCACTCTCTGCTCACCTGGCAGTATCCCCAGCCCTTTGCCAATTCTTCCACACACCATATCCTGATCATCTGACATGACCCCACTTTTCCCTACTGGTCCCCATATGAATCTGACAGGCAGCAGGAAAGAGGGAGACCTCCAGTTCTGTGACAGAGGCTGGCAGGGCAAGCTGAGACCCACTCAAGGCAAGAATCCCAGTGTAGTTTGACCCAAGAAATCAGACGCCTTTTCTCCTTCCATGGCAAGGAAAACTGCACATTAGCCAGTTGCCATGTGAAATGCACCTTGGAATTTCCTAGATACCAAAGGGCATTAAATTATTTATAAACCATTCCCCGAATCAGTGTTACCATATTCTGTATTTACCCAGGTACAACTTACTCTGACTGGGTGGTCCAGGGCTCATACCAGGGTTGCTGTTTGACCCAAATAAATCCTATGGTTTGAAAACCAAGGCAGGTGATAATCTGAGACAGAACTGAGCAGAGAAGTTGACCTGAGATGAGACCTGAAGGTGGCCTTTGTGCAACAAGCTCCTTCCAAGCAGGATTTAAACTCACTGTATTGGGAGAAAGAAAATCAAGAATAGTTCATAATATGCACGTTTCCAAGTACTATTTTGTTTAACTTTTATGGAGTTAGGCTATGTCTACGCTAGGAGCTCTGGGTAGGGTGACCAGACGTCCTGATAAAATCGGGACTGTCCCGATATTTAGGTGTTTGTCCCGCGTCCTGACCGATGTTAGGTCGGAACGCAATTTGTCCCGATATTTTGCGATACGCATTGTCCCAAGTTGCTTTGGTGGTTCTGAGTCAGAGTAATGTGTATCAGTTTGCACAAGGCAGCATCTCGATAGGCTGCTGCCACAGAGATGTTGCAAACCAGCCTCCCATTGGCTAACCCAGCGGAGCCAGAGTAACAGCAGAGGTAGACCGACCTTCCCATCTTCATGGCACCTGTAAGAATCAGCAGCAATTACAGGTTCCCTGTCTGTGTCGTCAGACAGTATACCTCAATTTCCAGAGCAATAATTCTTCTGTTAATATCCCCTGAGCTAATTATTATCTGCTTGCTTTTCAAGTGTGGATAAATACATATGCCTACAGCACAAGTGAGAATGTAATCTCTTGTGCATAAAAAAAAAATCCATCTGTGAAAATGTAAACAACAAAGTGTAATCACACCATGATCTTTTGGATTAAAAGAGTCTTAACTCTTTACATAACGCCTACTCACTTCTGGTCAAATTTCAGCCTCACTGTACTGCCAAGAGCTGCATGCATGACATCATGGCTGCTAATCAACTCTGTGTGGTGACACAACGTCACATACCTGAGCTCGCGCCGATTTAGTGCAATACTTTAGCATTAGATTTTCTAATTCGTACACTGTTTTGGGGATATTCCCACGGTTTTGTTCACCCTTTTCTCCTACATTCCCTTAAGGAGAGACAGACATAAGTAGCATCTCTCTCTTGGGATAGAAAGAGAAGGAGAGAAGGAGGTTCCTGTGCTCTTGCCTGCCGGCGTGTGTCAGGTGGGGGAGGTGGAAGGTCAATCCCTTCTCCTACCTATCCCCAGTGCACAGAGACCGGGAGAACATCTACCAAAAAAAGGACAAGGGCCACAAGAGACCCGTGGCTGCCACAAGGACAACCAAGAATATACTTACTCTCATGGCAGACATAAGTAACAATGTACATTTAGACAATTTACATGACCAATGGGATTGAAAACATGAAACAACAGGATTTTTACCTTCAGATTTTTTTAAATAACCCCATCTCCCTCCCATACTATAGCTACATGCAGAACTGTAGAAGAAAGATGCAGGGGGACACCTGTCAGAAACTTGTGTAATTTATCATATAGTTTACTCATACTTTTGAGATAGTACCTTTACAGTTATCAAACCAAAAGTCATATTGATGTTAGTAGGAATATTTAACAAGATGCTAAAAAGCATGTGCTTCAGACACACATTTGCTCTTTTTTCATAGTTAATTAAACAGCTGATTGCTAATACAACAAAACATCAGAAGTAATTCAGCATAATACTCACTGGTAAAGACAACAACCAAAATGATTGCCAGATCGATGAAAAGAAACTGGAAATCTCCTAAATTACTCAGGATCTATACAGAAAACACAGGTGCGATATTACTCCTTTCTTCACATTAAGAAACATTTTACAGCTTTTTTAAAATATTCATTTGCATGAATACTTGCACAGAAACTTTATAAACAATGGGTCGATCCAGTAATGGGCTGAGTGTCCAAAGTCTGTGGGAGTCAGGAGTATGGTGCCCCTGGCAGGATCAAAACCTGTGGTAGCAATGTGGTGTATGACACTAAAGCATGCAGAGTCAAATGAATTTCTAGGTAGTTTTTCAGTGTACGTTGTTCTTTGGCCAAATTAGTAGATAACAATGCTGCCTACACCCAGCAAACAAAGGCGATCTTAAACCCTGAAGTTCCCCAAGGGTTCTACACAAGAAAATCCCATTCATTTAATCACACAGCATATGGCTCAAAAACTGCCACTCCAAAACTCCCTTACTACTAACTGCTATTCTGAATTAAAGATACAAAGGTGAATTAACCAACAACAGTTAAAGTGGAGGGAATTTCCACTGAGGGCCTTTACATTAAATAATTTCTGCCAAAATACACCCAACCCATTTTCTTCCCCACAACTCAGTATCTTCCAGTTGCTCTATCTCAAGCGGTATGCCATTACTGACGTGTAATTTTGTTTACAGTACAGTTCCTTTGGTAGTTGTTGATACTACGGCATGGTAACCAATGGAAAAACAGGTCTTCATTCTACACGTTCTGTTAGGTTTTAGTATTTTATTGCTCTCTCTAGGTACATACCTCCATCACAGCAGTTCTGAGAGCTGTTATAACCTGATTTTGGTTTTTTTGCCTTTAATAAACAGAAAATATTACTACAGTATTCCTTATACTAACTACTGAGAAGGACATGAAATATTGTGAATACCGTGGTAATGTTAGCTAGTCATCAAAGGCAAAGTTTTAATATTTCTAGATGACCATTATATATATTATCTAGAGAACGAAGGCACGATGAATCTTACCATAATCACCAAGCTCCCAAAGAAATTGACAGTATATTAATATGCAAAAGCCAGAGGTTAATTTGCTTATCTTAAGCCCTTTGAATTATATTTAATAATGTTTGAGTGCTATATTGTCAAATACTCACAGAATATAGTAGGGTAACGCTGAAATACTGGATAATGCTGTACAAAGCCATAAACTTAAATACGCAAAAGGAAGTTATTAAAGCAGCACGGCCTTCCCTGTAAAAACAAATACATACATATAACTAAAGCCATTTAAGACAACAATTATGGTTAAAAAAAAGATAGCTAGCACTGAACAGAATAGCCAACGCGGTGAGATATTTTCTGCTAAAGATCAAAAGATCAAAGACATGTAAAGAAGCTGAAAAGAAAAAAAAGTGGGGGAAGGGGGGTGAGAATATATTTGCTAGCTGATCACAATTATGAACATGCCATCTACAGAGAATCACCAAATTTCTGCTTGATGCTGTTTAATTTAAAAAAGATTTACTGGAAAACCAATAAATAAATTACAATGCACCTCTCTTCTATGGTGGCACATTTTTACTCAACTGATGTGCTCTGTGTGTGCATTCAGAATCAGATCTGCTGACTTCAGGGACACAAATTATTTTGAGCACTTATTACAGAGCCTGCACAGCTGCAGTATACTGAACTGGATTCTATTCTGGCTCATGCATCAGGAAAGTTGTTAACCAAGTTCCAGTTGCTGGGACAAAAATCAGTTCTCAGCAACTCCATTTGAAATGTCAATGGGTTTCCCCCAAAGTTATCGCTAAGGGCAGAAGTTCCTGAATAATTTTTATTGCTGGTGATTATGCACAAGCAGGAAAGGACATTGCTTGCCTCTCAGATCCCAGGTTAAGTTTGCAGGGACTGACAACACCTAGAAAGAGACACCTTTATAAATGTAAACAGAGTAAATCTGGTCCAGAAATCATTGAGATAAACACAAAACCAGAAGTGCCTCCTTTACTGTCACTCTTCAGAGCAGAACTGCACTTCAGGGCATGAACAGAATCTGTGGCATGAACGATGGCTTTTTCAGTCCTGAATGGTCTCGCTCCAAGAGCACAGATATTAGAATTGTTGTTAAAGCTGCCTGTAAACTCCAAAAAATTAATCCTGATTTCTAATGGCAGCAAATCAATTAATTCTTAGGAAATTTAATAAACCTTCAGACTACTTCGGATGGCTAAAGGCTCACTCACAACTTTAAGGAAGAAATTAATTTTACATGGACTACAATTGGGATAAAAACATATGGGATCATGCTGTGAAAATACAATACATTACTCACAGAGTGCCTTTACTAAAAGCAAAAAATATGAAGGGTTATGTCGGATCCTGCTTTGATTTCATATTGCCGGCATGTAGGATATTGCCTTGCACACAGTGCTAGATCAACCACTTCTACTTATGGGAAACAGCTTGTTGAAAATTCTGCGGTGCGTTACCTGATAAGGTTTGGCACACAGGAAATACTAGGAGTCCTGGAGGTGAATGGTGATGCCACGGAAGCCTCAAGTTCAGACAGTGATATACCACCATGGGCCTTCTTCAGTGCCTGCCGGTTATCAGGAGGAGAGTTACAGATTGTTTAATCATCTTTTAGCTTTAAAATTCACAATAATGTGACAATAGCTCCTTAAACAAAATAGAAGTGTACTTACACCACAGTCATTTGCACCATCTCCACACATGCCAACATAGTAACTATAAAAACCAGACAAGTTTCAGCATTCTACTTCATTCCATAACTATAATACTTATTCCAATTATACTGAACACTTTTATACAACCTGATGCTTTCCAAGTGCTGTACAGACATTAACGAATCCTCAGGATAGCAGGTTATTACTATGTAGTAGATAAACTGAGGCAGAAAAGTTAAGTGACTTGCCCCAGGTCAAGAAGCAAGCTAAGGTCAATGCCACAGCCAGGATTAGAACTCAGAACTTTGTGACCACCTTTCCCATACTTAATCTGCTGCACCATGCTGCCTGTATAGCCTGGGAAAGGTGCATCTTGCAATATTTTGTTACATATTTTTCAACAAATTATTTCTAAGGCATCAGATGGAAACTATCACTAACACTAGAAAAACCTACATCTGAAAAAAGTAAACCAGCCATTAGACTAATCCCCATTTAAAAAAAAAGTAAGAGCCAATTTGACAGGACACGAATGACTGAATAAACAGAATTCATCCCACAAATATTTACTTGTTTAATAAGCAGAAATTAACTGAGGATATTAATTGTTCACACTAAGCCAAGTAACAAGATTTTTGATTATGCCTCAGAAACACATTGGTCAATTTTAGTCTAAATTGATGCTGGACCAAATTAAATTCTTCAGTTGCAACCTCCTGAAAAAGCAGCTATTTAAAAAAGCTGTGTTTCACAGTCCTCCAATAAATGACACTATTTTTGAAACAGCTCTATTAACTGTCCGATTTGCCAACTGAGATGTTATAGTCTAGCCTTTTACCAGGCTAAATGTAAATAGCTCAAACAGTAAAATGCTCTGTTTTCCCCCAACGACATTTTTCTAACACACCAAACACCCAACATTTTCAGAAACAAATAAATACTCACTCCACATTTTGTAACGCTTCCACTAGCTGTGTTTTCTGATCGGGTGCCATGCGGGCAAATACAGTGCCATGCAACACCAGCTGAAAGACAACAGATTTCTTACCAACATTAGTCACGTGCAAAATCTGCACATCATCCAAAAGGCCAAACACCAATTAGGTTACTAACCTTGGGCACAAGGTCCTGAAAATGCTCCAGTATCACTGCAAAGGACTTTCCATTCATTGCAAAATGGTATTTAGTCAGCTGGAGGTCCTCTAGACTTTCATGGACCAATTTAATTGGAATATCCTGTATCAAAACAAGGAACTTTGGTTATTTTAGTCATAATATACTTACCCCTATTCTTCATATTTTAAGGCACTATATAAAGGACCAACAGAAGCAGTAGCTTTGGAAATATTGCTTTAATAAAGGTTGCTGAGAATTTTAATTTGTGCTGCAGGAAGCCTTGTAAGATTAAATTACACTTATTTAATAGCAAAAATTCGACAGTTTATTACATAGTTAATTATAAATAAATATTTTAGAACAAGCCCTTTAATAAAAACAGATTTTTGACGTCTGAAAGCGTCACCTGCAGCTGCAGCATCAATCTACCGGTTACTTTTTAAATGTGTGTTTAGAGTAACATTCGCTATTGTACTGCTGGTTGGTGTTTTAACCCTGAACGCCGTAAGCAGAACTAGAGCATGCAGAGTCCTGGGGCACAAATGACATTGAGTCACAGGTCTCACAGGCGAGGATGCTGCTGCGTCTGGGGCCAGTCTCTGCAACGGGGCAGGTTTTGCTGCTTTGGGACGGTGGTCGTTTAAGACCCTACCCTGCAGGACTGATGAGAAATGTTTGTTTTTTTAACTGACTCAAATGGGAATAAGATCAAGCCGTTAAACGGAGGCAATTTAACACTGTATAACATATCCTAGGATGGTATCTTTATGCAGGCCAGTGTTCAGTAAAGCTGTTTGTCCTTGAGACAGGTTTCATTATATTTACTTTTTCCCCTGAAGAGGACAAAACCCAGCACTAAGTAGATCTCAAGAGCAGAGTTTGTTTCACTGTAGTTTCATTATTTTAATGTATGCACAGTGCTTTGAAGAGGAGAACAACAATATAAATATCACTATTATTACCATCCATCTCTTAGCTGTACTTAACGCTAAGGGCCTTAAAATTATGCTGCTCTGTCACAGGTTAGGATCCTGTCGAGAAAGATAGAGCTGGGTAGGATTTTGGTGTGCTGGCCAATGGACAGCTGCTGCAATAGAGAGGCACACCCTGTTGGCCAGCTGAGTGCATCTGACCCAGATTTCCTCAAATGGCCTCAAGCAATTTTTCCAGACTGAAAATGAATCAACTCTGAGCTTTAGTTGTTAATTAAACCAAGCAGAGTTCAGTGAAAGATGAAATCACAGGAATTTCTCTCTCGAAACACTTGGCAGTTCTAAACCAGCCCCATATTATGAATGGCAGGATTGTGCTGTACTTCTGGGATTGCATTTTCATTGGTAAGTTAAGTAGTGCATTTATTATGACTTGTACAACTATGTACTAGAATAATTTAAGGAAACTAAATAAGTGAACCTGGCAGTGAATCTCATGCTAACGCTTGTCGAGATAAAGCAATGCGGAAATTACCTGTGAGTTAATGGCTGGTGATGAATTAGTGCATTTTGTGAGGGTATCTGCATAATGCCAGTTTATCCTGGCAACTCGCCCATCCTTTGGAGGTAGCGCTTCAGCAATAATGACCTTATCCTGAGGTAGAATCATTCCACAGTCTCTAGCCACAGAGATAGCAGTTAACATGTTATCACCTGTTAAGCAAGTAAAGTAAAAAAAGGGTTTCGTTAAACAAATGGCAATATAGATGAACATTGGGAAAGGAACATACTTGAGTGAAACCTGCTTTAAAACAACAGCAGCAGATCTGTCTGACTGGCATCAATGATTTCCTTACAACAATTAAAATCCACAGATAGCCATGATATTGTACCTCCTGGTATTTAGTCTTATTTAGTCTGCAGAAGAGAAGAGTGAGGGGGGATTTGATAGCAGCCTTCAACTACCTGAAGGGGGGTTCCAAAGAGGATGGAGCTCGGCTGTTCTCAGTGGTGGCAGATGACAGAACAGGGAGCAATGATCTCAAGTTGCAGTGGGGGAGGTCTAGGTTGGATATTAGGAAACACTATTTCACTAGGAGGATGGTGAAGCACTGGAATGGGTTACCTAGGGAGGTGGTGGAATCTCCTTCCTTAGAGGTTTTTAAGGCCCGGCTTGACAAAGCCCTGGCTGGGATGATTTAGTTGGGGTTGGTCCTGCTTTGAGCAGGGGGTTGGATCAAATGACCTCCTGAGGTCCCTTCTAACCCTAATCTTCTATGATTATTAAATATCTACTATCATCAATTTCATTGTATTGGGGGGGGAAGGGGGCGACAGAGAGACAGCACTGAAAGTCTTGTGCATGTTTCAGAGGGGACACAGTTAGTTTTGGGGTACTTAGGAAGTATGCATCCTTTTAAAAATATGGCCCAAAGTGACTTATGCAAGGTCATATGAAAAGCAAGCCATATAGCAGGCAGTAAAGTCCCAGTCCTGACTCTTTGTCCCTTCATTTATATGGCACCTTTCATTCCAGGACAATATATCATTGTGTTTGCACATATCCACCTACTTGTGTCTCTGTGCCCTGACTAATCTGCCAAACATTTTAAATTACATGATACTTCTAGCTTTCCTTGCGTAGCAGTTGCAGTATCATTCTAGTCTGCGCAAACCTCACAAAACTAAACCTGGGTGACCCACTTTGCTATTTCACAGCCAAATCTTTTTTCTTTTCTCTTCTAGGATAGTAATGTAAGTTGGTACGGTATCTTGTGTGTCTGAGTGTCATTTCTGCAAGATGTCCACTACCATTTTCATAGGTAGCAGAAGTCCCATGTCTACTCCATACCTACCAAGATGTAAAAGCTATAAACAGAAATATTCCTGGAGAAAGAACGAACGAGGCAGACGGACGCACCACTTTTAACACTACTAAAATACGGCGGAGCAGGAAAGCTTATTCAGAAGGACCATAAGTCAGATCAATTAATTCAATCAAAATAACTATCAATCAATCACAGGAACAAGCACAGAATCACCACAGCATCGTTCACAGTTCACTCTTGGATATTATTATAGTAAGGTAGAATTTTGGTATATCTATACAACAATTTAATCCCTCCCCCCTCAAATGAATGCATAATTTTTAACAAATAGCACAAATCATATTAATGTGAATTTCCATTGCATCTTCCTTCCAAGCATCTCAAAAGTGCTTTATACATATGACTGAACTAAGCCTCATACACCCCTCCTTTTACTGATGGGGAAACTGAGGCACCGATCGGTTAAACGACTTGCCCCAGGCCACACAGGGAGTATACAGCAGAGTAAGGAACAGAATCTAGATCTTCTGGCTCTTAGCTTTGTGGGTTGTCCCAAGATCATACTTCCTCTCTTCAGATACCAAAAGCAGAAATGTTATTGTCCCTTTCTCTTCTTGTTTCTGTACAATATCAAACTTTTTCTATGTAAGAGAGTGAACTTGGACCAGAGAAACTAAATACAACTCAGCTTTACACTCTGAATGTTAAATATAACAACCCACATAGAACATAGAACACATAGATGGGGAAAAAAGCATTAAACCCATTCAAAACAATACATTTATTTGTTCCCAAAATGTTGGATTAACTGTATTCTAACCTGTGACCATGACAGTGCGAATGTTGGCTTTATGCAAGTCTTCAAGTACAGCAGGGGTTTCTTGCTTTAGTTTGTTTTGCATTATAATTAACCCCATAAAATCCATGTTGCTTTCAATGGCATCTCTGTAACAACAGGGGAAAAACATTTTCAGAAATTGATGTAGGGTGGATTGCTCTTTTTTTTTTTTTTTTAACAATGTGACTATGCTTTTATGGCAAAGGAAAGAGAAAGATTTTATTTTTAATTGTGAAAAATAATAAAAAGATTCAGCTTCATAAGCAATTTGAGAAATAATTTCTGTTAATTTTTAATTAGTTTATTTATTTAAGGGGAAAAAAACTGTAATCACAAAAGTGGAAAAGAAGTCACTCGTTTTGTGCAGTAACTGCATTTCTTTGAGATGCGTGTCCCTGTGGGTGCTCGTGCACCTCTGGAGTCCTTGATCCGAGATTTTCTGTCCATTCAGCCCGTGCATGCGCGCTATAGAATCTCGTGCCACACACAAGGGCATATAGGGCTGCGCATTTTTTTACATTTAGCTCGAGACCCAAATCTAGGAAGAGAGAGAGGGCTGTCTGGGGAAGTTAGTACCTTTTTTTTTTTTAGATCAACCCTTGAGTAGCCTGTCATCGAGATATGGGAAAACTCAAATTACTTCTTGCCAAAGGTAAGCAGCGACTCCTGCTAGACCCTTTGAGAACATCCTTGGGGCCGAACAGAGACCAAAAGGAAGTACTCAATATTGAAAATGATCCTGGCTCATAAGGTTTCCTCTGTGCGGGATGTATTTCTGTATGGAAATGGGTGTCCTGTAGATTGAGCACCAAAAAACAATTCTCCTGCTTCAAGAGAAGGGATTATAACTGCCAGAGTCACCATCCTGAACTTTTGAGACTTTACAAATTTGTTCAGTCATCTTAGTTCTAAGATTGGTCTCAACTCTTTGTCCTTCTCTGGCATGAGAAAATACTTTGAGTAAAACCCTTTCCCCATCGTGAGGGGATGGGACCAGTTCTGTCGCTCCTAAATGATGGAGCAAGTATACCTCTTGACTCTGTATAGTCTTGTGAGCGGGGTCCCCGAAGAGGGAGGGGGAAGAAGAGTGGAAGGGAGCGAGGGACATGAAGCAGATGATGTAGCCCAGTGGTCCCCAAGGTGGTGCCTACGGGCGCCAAAGCTCCCGCTGGGGCATCTATGTGCGCCCGCCTACTGACGAGGAGCGCAGCCACCAGACAAGCAGCCGCCGAAATGCCGCCAAGAAGCAACAACGTCAAGAAGTGTCGCCGCCAAAATGCCGCTGCTTCTTGGCGGCATTTTGGCGGCAACGGTTCTTGGCATTGCCGCTTCTCGGCAGCATTTTGGCAGCTAATCGTCAGGCGCCCACCACACTGAAAGGTTGGGGACCACTGATGTAGCCTGATGTTATAACCTCCATGACTCACTTGTCTGTTTTAATACGCTGCCGGGCCTGTTGGAGATGGGAAAGGCAGTGTCCAAAAGTGATGGCAAAAGTTTGCAGCTTGCAAACTAGAGGTGAGGGAGGAGTCAACCCTCAACCAACTCAAATTGTTGTTTCAATGATAACTGGGTACTCACTGAAGGGGTTGGGATGCTCTTTGCCTCTGGAATTTGTCTCTTTCTAAAGGGTTCAGTGATTCTGTGAAATCCAGAGAGCTGGGCTCAGCACAGTCTCTGTGCCGTCTGAGACCTGCTAAATCTCCTCTTGTTCCTAGGAGCATATATACCAAGAGACATCAATGTGGCCCTGTAGTCCTTCCGTGTGTGCAGAGACTTGTCCACAGTTCCCAAGAAGAGCTTCTGACTATCAAACTGCAGGTCCTCAACAGTTTTCTGAAGCTTTCTTGGGGACCCTGACAGCTGGAGCCACAATGCCCGTTGCATGACAACTGCTTTGGAGATGGTTCTGGTGGCAGTGTCTGGGGCATGTAAGGATACTTGGAGAGAGGTTCCAGCTAATAACTGACCCTCCTTAATGATGGCCTGGAAGTGCTCTCTATGCTCCTGTGGAAGATGATCAATAAAGACTTCAAAACTGACTCATAGTTTGAAATCTGAAATTGGAAGGTCCGGATGAATTGGCCTTTTGGCCAAAAAGGTCTAATCTCTTCTGGTCTTTATCATAAAGACTGGACCTGGAGTAATACTGGTTACCCTGTTCATTTATGACATCCACCACCAGGGAATTAGATGGGGGATGGGAAAACAAAAATTCTGAGTCCCTGGAGGGGGTGGGACATAATATTTCTTATCTGCTTGTTACCAGTTGGTGGGATGGTGGCAGGAGTTTGCCACATAGTCTTTACTGGATCCAGAAGCACTTCATTAATGGGTAGCGCAATCCAGGTGGGTGTTGCCAACTGTAAAATGTCCAGGAGTTTGTGCTGTGAGTATTTACCCTCCTTGAGAGGTAACTGGAGGGTGTCAGCCGCCTTCTTCAGAAGTTCCTGGAACTGGTGAAAATTGTTGGCCATCGATGGTGATGGAGGCATGACTGGACTGTCCGGAGATGAAGACGAAATAGGAGTTTGAGGGGTAGCCTTTGTCTGTCCTGGCCTCTTGTTTTCAAAGGTCTCCTTATGTTGGGGGTTTGGTGGTGGAGACTGTGTAACTCATCTCCCAGTGCAATGGACCCAGATGTCTGGCAAATTGCTACTTATGCACTGCCCAAGGATCCCAGCATGCCCACTGGGGGGCCCAGATAACAGGGGGATGGTACCCAGGACTGATCCCACCATCCCTGATGTAGGGAAGAATCCTTGTTGAAGTATGGGTTCCTGTAACGATGTGGAGGGAACCCCGCACTGAGAGGGAGAGACTGACTGAATGTCTCCTTCATCCTCCTCAATGTCCTCCAATGGGGGCTCCCCCAACAGAAAATGGCAGAGAATCCTGTGGTACCCGGAAGCAATGGCAATCCAGACACCAGGGTCTCAGTACCGAGAGTTGTTCGGTACACAGAAGCCGTGGGGACACCAGCTTGCCTAACACTGACACATCCTGGGAGTAGCAGACTTCCTCCTGTGCGAAATGGGTGGAGATTGATGCAGCAGTTGAGGTGGATGGTACTGTTGATCTGGAGCATGTAGGCGCCAGGGCCAAAAGTGTCTGGCACCGTGATTTTGCTGGTACTGAGGGAGCCGAGTGTGAAGGCACCATTAATAAGCCTGATGTAGACGGTGCTGTTCTAGAGGAGTATATGCCCTGGGCCTTGCTGTCCTTCCACACAGTACCCCGGGGCCTGCTAGTGCCATGCTTCTCCGAAGTGCTCTGGCATCTCCCGGCCCCGCTGGTACCGGAAGAAGAGTCATTCATCTCCACGGTACTGAATCAAGAGGTCGAAGATTGACACCGCAGACTTAGCAGGGGACTGAGGCCTTTTGGGAGCCACCTTCTTGTGGTGGGAGACCTGGGACAAGGTTGAAGGAGCCCTGGGTCTGTCCGGAAACAGATGTATGCAGGGATCTGCTGACCATACTCAGAAGCAGGTTGAAGAGAGCATTCCATCATTGGAAGGTTCAATTTGGTCTCCCAATTCTTCTGTGCTCTAGGATTTGAGAGCCAGGCAAAAGTTACCCTTCTGGAACTCTCCCAAGCAATGGACACACTTAGAGTGGCCGTCACTGACTGGGACAGCCTCCCAACGAGAGAGGCAGTGTTTGAAACCTGGCAAGGCAGGCATGCCAGCCAGACCAAATGAGTTCCCCCCCAAAAAAAGGGGGAAAGGGAGAGGAAAATACCCACAACTCTCACTACAATCTAATTAATTCTATACTAACAGCAACTAACACTAACTAAACACTAAACTAACTACACATCAACAACAAAACACCATGAGGCATGCCAATAGTGGACACACTAGAGCCCGTCTCAGGCAGAGGCAGTAGAGAAGAAATGGAGGGCAGTTCACCCACATAGCCCTATATACTTGCAGTGCGCAGCACATGGCTGTATAGACCACATGTGGGCCAAACGTACACTGCTCATGGAAAAACTCCGATCAAGGACTCCAAAGGCACACGAACACCCGAAGTGTAGCACCCACAGGGACATTACTCAAAGAAGCAGCAGCAGCTTTTTAAAAAATATCAATGTCTAGAAAGTATTTCTCAGGGAAGAACCTAAACTAAATTTTGGCTTTACAAAGAGAGCATCTAATGGAATACTTTGAAAGTCATTAGAATTATAGCCAATTTTGTGTCTTTGTTTCAAAGTCACAACTTTAATTACTTTCCCAGGCAGCTTACATGGAAAGGGGCAGGTAATAAATGAGGATGATCATAAAGCTCTGGAGGTTTCTAAATAGACACATGATCTACAATATTTTCAGTATTTTCTTCTGTCACTTTTGTGACAGAACAACATGGAAGTATGCAAGACACTGGCTTCTTTTGTGAATGTTCAGTTGCTTCTGTTGATTCTTCCACATCTGAAACATGGAGTCTGATTCTCTACTCTGGTACACCAGCTCTGAGCTGCTGTAACTCCCTTACTCAAACAGGGTGCAGACCTTGTGCAACAGTGTGTAGAATCAGGTTCACAATCCTCATTATGTCTTCCATGTTTGGTTGTTGTCAGGAACACCACACCCAGTCTTTAATGGACGCGTTATCTTCTGTTACATAAATATACTTATATTTACGAAGAAAGTGGGGATTGTCATGTTAATCTGTATCAGATACCGCAACACAACAGTTATGGTACACTGTAGGGTCAGGGCTGTTCCACAGCACGCACTTTATCACCAGAAGACACTTGTTTGCCTTAGGCTTCTCTGCCTAATGTCCAGGATCCCAACATCACTGCACAGTACTGCAGGTGAAAGCTAGAAAGGAGATGTAATTTAGGTAAAACCAAAATAAGCAGCCTTCAGGCGATTCAAGTAGTACAAAGAATATAAATAGTGCATGTTTTAGTATGAATTGTCTTAAATATGTTCGTTCTCAATTAAAAGTAGCCCCTCTCACCTGTTAATATTCTGGACTTTGTGCCATGAAAGTTTTGATTCCAATTTTCTGTGAGCAAGAGCGATAACTCTGAAGCCCTGCTTAGTGTAGTCTTCCAAAATGGTTTCAAAATCAACAGGAACTTAAAAAAAAAAAAAAAAAAAAGACCAATTACAGAATTATTAAAACCTCCCATATCACATCTGAACTCTATGAGAAAAGTCAGTTTATTCCTTTACCTGTTTCTTGTTTACACAAACTGGCAATCACCTCTGGGGCACCTTTCATGAACGCATCCATTCTCTTCTCCCCTAGCACTCTTGCTACTACACACATGCGTTGCAAAGCAGAAGAAAACGGAAACTGACGCACAATTCCAATCTCATAACTGGCCTGTATAATTGATCAGAGACAACAAAGAGGGAGAGTTGCTGAGCATATCCATCCCCTTTATTTTTATTTTTTTTAAAGCCATTTTCTTAGGAAAAGGGAAAATATTCACACTTACCGAGAGCTCAAATAGTTCCTAAAAAAGACAAAAAAAAAAAACTTTGTTTCCAACAATCTATTACCACGCTTCATTTCAAAGCTATATTTCCAGTGCTAGTATCAGATATGTATCAGATCAGTAATACATCTGAATAATATGATATGGCAGTTGAATCCCCAAGATAGATTTTCAATTTAAATGGCACTGTATTGAAATTAGGCTGAACAAGTTTGATATTAATGTCTTGCATTTATATAGTGCCTTTCACCCCAAATGATCCCAAAGCACTTCACAAACGTGGTGTAATAGTGAAAGCACGAGCCTGGCATCAATAGATAAGAATTTTATTCCCAACTTTGCCACAGAGGTGCTGTATGTCTCTGTGCCTACCTCACAGAGGGTGGTGAGGTGTAACTCATTAGAGTTTGAAAAGCATTTTGGGTATGTCTATGCAGCAAAGAAAACCTGTGGCTGGCCCATGCCAGCCAACTCAGGCTCGCAGGGCGCGGACTGCAGGGTTGTTTCATTGTTGTACAGACTTCCAGGTTCAGGCTGGAGTTTGGGTTCTGGGACCCTCCCCGTAGACTCTTAGAGACTCATGGATTGAAGGTGCTAGAGAATTGCTAAGTATTATTCCTTATTGCTATAAATTCAGAGCTGTTATACGAATTAAAATGCAGAACCCTGTTGTGAAACATGGTACGAGTTTAACAATGCACTCCCAACTCCACTCAACACCTAAGGACAGGAAGTAAGACGAGAATATTGCAGCTACTACATGGGGAGCATACAGAGGCAAACTAGTTACCAGGTAAGGATACCTAATTGTTTCAAAAAGCATCATCGTATCTTTAAAACGACCAGAAGTGATCAGAGCATCATCATACTGATGCATTAATTTGGTGTCAAGGAGTAGTGCCATCGATCCAATCACCAACTCCTGCAAAACCTGAGTGCTCCCTACATTTTCCCTTTGAAGTAATGACCAGTCCTGATCCTGTTCAGGATTAGATCTGCAGGACCACAATACAGAGAAATATGCATCCACTCTTAACTCCTCTAATGAGCTAAAGAACAAAATGCATGCAGAACAGAGGTTTATATTTGCTTTGAAATTTTGTACCATTTCTTGATTTGTGGCAGGTTTGGATTCTGGAAGAAGCTGTTTTGGAGGTCGAACCACGGTTGGCATTATTCGATTGTGAAGAGCTGTTTCCTCTTCAGTTGCTTCTTCAAGAATCTAAATGAAAACAACACCTAGTTCACTTCTTTCATTAACTAACTTTACATCAGACAATTATATTTCTGAAAACAACAATTCCAGTAGTCAACATCAATAGCTCTATCTTTCTCGACAGGGTTTCTATTAAGAATCAACAATATTAAATACCAGTGAAAGAGCAGATAGACCAAAGTCTCTTCAAAAGTTTTAGCTAAAAAAGGGTGCACACTGTGCCACAAACTGACCCACACTCCCAAGATTGGAGAAAAGTGCATTAGATATTAAGAATTCTTTCAGTGTCAATAATTTAGGTTTTAGTATGAGACATAAGTATTTTTAAAACATGAATTTCTGGGTTGACACTGTCCCTTTAGAGTGACACTCCAGTACTGTAGCCCATCTAGGAATTTAAATCTTGCAATCTGAGGATGCGTATAACAGATCATGTATCATATGACTATGTGACATTTCACATTACTGCACTTAGAAATGCTGATTCCCTTGAAAGAACTAATGAACTTACCCATCCTATGGCTTCAAACATCTTTAAATCAAGCGGGTCCCCAGAAAGCACTCCTTCAATTTTCGTGAGTGAATGACAAGTTGCCATGCAAGCAACAAACTGAGACTTCACCAGGCTCTCATTGCAAGCTCTCTCTTCTGGAAAAAGGAAACTAACACAGAAGACAGTAAAGCCAACGAAGTGATGATGTGCTTTGCTCTACAATGATTTATTAAGAGAGAATTCCAAAGGGTTATATTAGCAGAACACTGGCTACACAAGTCTTTTGAAGCTTATCCTTTCCATACAACACAGGGAATGGATTAGGACTGCAGGCAGGGACTTACAGTAGAGCCTAAGGGAGCTAGGCGACCAGCTCCCACTGAATTTCAATGGGATATAGGCATATACACCCTTTAGGCTCCTTTGAAACCCCCATCCTCACTATGTAAATAATCAACCACCTCTGGTTTGATCACATGTAACTTCACATGGGGCCTGTCTACACAAGAAGTAAAACTGGTTGCCTGAATCAAGTTCATGCTAACTCAGATAAAACCGCCTGACCAGCCAGTGACGATAAAGCCAAAAACAAGTGCACAGGCCAAGCTCACAAATTACTTTGCATGGTTTCTGTGCGCTGTTCATAATTCCATTGTGGTCCCTCCCCCCTCAGCTAGCTAACCCACATTTTAGAGCTGCGTCAAAGTGTCATGGATTTTCCACCAAGTCTTGATCACATTTTGATATGTACCCCTTTCTAGTCACTTTTTTTGTGCACATTCAGGAACACAAAAGATCACAGTTTTCTACTTTATGCAGGTTCTTATATCCTGCTCATCACCGTAGTCTGAGTGCCAGTTACATGTTTGCTCTCATGTCAATCACACTGTACCAAATAATGAAACCAAACTTCTCTCCCATGCAAATATTGCAGCACATTTCTCCTTACCGAGCATTTTCCACTCTTTGGATCCCCCAAAGATCTAAGCCATCTTCAGTAAGCGTGCCAGTCTGCCACAAAAACAAATTAATAAAACAGACAGTGTCAACAGAAAAGCCTTCAGAACCAAGGTGGGCTCTGAAAAGGGCCAGTGGATACAGCAGAAATATTAGCAGAAAATGAGCGAAGTTACGCTTGAGCAGTAACTGTTGCACTTTTACTTCCAGCCAAAATATAGATTTGATATTTACTAACTGATCTTTACAGAACAAAAAAAAGAACACATCTCCTCACGGATTCTGCAGATAACTGCCTATGGCTTTGTGGAAACGTTCACTTTGTAAAACAGAATTATATGACTATGTCACTGGCCCAGTGCTATGTATTCACTGCTCAGTGTCTGTAATAAAAACATCTATCTGTGCACATGGGGACAGGATGGAATACACAGCCCCTCAGCCCTCAATTATGTGAGCTCACAAGGCCTATATTCTTTGGAAGAGGAAATTCTTAAACTTTTACATAGAATTCTAAGTGAAAAAGACACCAGACGGAAAAAGAAGCAACAGCCCAAACTGGGGAGGGAGGGTTGAAACTAAACTGTTAGCCGTGGCAGTAGTTATTTACACAGAGTTAACACACCGTTTTGAATACATCTGCCAAACAGAAATAAAACAGTTGTGCAGACAGTTTAAGGAGTTAGAGAAAAATGTAGAGGGGAAAGAAGTTTGGATTAAGTACCAGCTGAAAGGAAGAGACAGACTAGCTGTGTTTACTTGCACTATTTCTGACTTTTAATTGTGCCTATTCCTACATAAGGAACAACCTTAAACATATGAGCTTGGCCTTTCATTTGAAATAAAGTTAAATGAGAAATGTGGCCAAGCTACAAAGTCTGAATCCAAATTTTCCTGAAGCTTGGGGGCCTTCAGACAGTTTCAGTTTGGACCCAATCGCCACACAACACTTATGCTTCTCGGAACTATTGACAAAGTAGCATCTGGAGCTTTGAGAGGAACATTCCACTCAGATTTGTAACTATTTGCTAGGGGTATTTCTATGTTTAGCATCTACCACCAATGAATTCACTTAGGATCTGTAGCTATTGGAATAGAGCTTTTCAATTTTAACAAGTTAGCTCTGAAATCATGATTATGAATGCCATTGTAGCCACTACTATAACTGCTACTTTTTAAAAACTGCACACAACACTTTCCAGCCAATAACCAGCAAAATAGTTTAAAAACGTATCTAACCTTGTCAAAACACACGAGATTCAATTGGCCACAGATATTTATCCTCTGAGGACTGATGCAGAAGATACCAATCTTTTTCAACCGCCTCTGTGCATAAACGATCCCAGCAGTCATCGCAGCAGGAAGTGCAGGTGGTACAGTGATGGTTATAATGTCAAGAGACTCAATGATTATTATATGAGCAGGAACCTAGAGTTAAAGAGAGTACGCAAAGTGAATAAAAATCCAGAGCTTATAGGATTCACCAGTCTCTCCTTAGTACATTACGTTTAATGTAGTATTGGGCCACAGATTTCAGAGGTGACGCTCCTTTCATCTCTTCCTGGATTATCACAGGTAGCTTCTGCTCTGCTCAGAAAGTTAACAATGCTGCCACAACCTTTACTTGCACAATACAATTTTAGCAATCTAGTGCTAAAAGGTTTTACATATTTAAGCCTCTGGTATCTTCCCCCATACATTAGTTAAAAGTCAAAGGTGAGTGAATAATGTGCAACAAATCTGATAAATTTGTATTTTCTATAATCTCACCAAATAATTTCTATGAATGATCCTTGGTATGTAGCTCATTACTGTGTAATATGTTCTGCCTATGCAATATCTAATTCGTTTTGATTAGACATAAGTAACATGGTATCCTATTTCTTCTTTGGATCACAGTAACTTCTAGAATCAATTTTCTGGTGCAAAAGCTTGTGATTAGAAATTCAAATTTCACTTTCCTCTAATAGTCCCTTAAATTTTGCTTTTTTGCAGAACATTCCTGTCAGTAAATTTGTCTGCTACAACATTCACGGAAAACAAATGCAGCCATAAAGGTTTCATTTAAAAATTAGACTCAGTATTTGCAGAAAGTTGTCTTGCACAAGCTCACCCAGCCCTACTAACAAAACACCGATCAGCTTCTACAGTTAAAATAAATTAGTAGGGTGATGGAGAGATGGTAACCATACCTCATTTAGTATGCTATTGACAACCGTGTAAAGAAACCCAACTCCTGCCACCAACACAAGGAACAGCAGAAACATGTAGGCATCTCTGTAGAGTTTGAAGTCAGTTGGCTTTGGATACAGTATAGAACGAACAAGCTGTCCTTTTGATGTACTAAAGCCTATAATGAGAGGGATTTTAAGGTATCAGATTAAAAGTGTAAACAATGGCAATGTCATACAATGCACCAAAAGCCTTTGAGACACTAAAATCCTGAGCTAGTCTTTTGATCCTCAGGTTTTGTAAGTGCTAAACCTATCTGCATGCTGTATCTGCAAATTCTGACTTCCAGAATCAAATCATTAAAAAGATGAAGAGCAAATTTAGTTTTATCAATGTTTCACTCAGATAGTCTTTATATTTTAGCTGCAACCCTGCACATAGAACCGTTATTTACCCTAGAGTAACTGGTTCTTCAAGATTTATTGTCCACACAAACTCCACTCTAGGCATGCATGGGTTAATAGGCAAGTGAGATTGGATTCTTTTTAAATAGCGTATCTGTTTGAGCCATGCCTGCACTCCACCCGCCCTCGCGTCCACCGCAGCTGGAGGTATCATCGGCAGGGTGGCCTCAATAACCACTCAGTTCCTCGGTGAGAATTCCAAGAGGAACTGGATTCTGAATCAGTGGGGAAGAAGGGGGGCCATGGAATCTGCATGGACAACATATCTCAAAGAACCACAGCTACTGCAGAGTAAGTAACTGTTCTTTTTTTCAAGCGACTGCTCACAGAGATTCCACTCTAGATGACTAACAACAGTTATCTCAAACCTGGAGGTGGGAAGTCCTATTTTCAAGGAGTCCTATTTTCAAAGTCACAGCAGGACAACACTGCCAAAGTTGGCCTCTGATATGGATTCTTGAACCAAGGCATAATTAGAGGTAAATGTATGAACCCAGCTCCAGGTAAGCAGCCCTACGTATTTCAGATATTGGTATATTACCCAGGCAAGCACCAGAAGCTGCCCTGAGCCCTAGTGAAATGGACTCTAACGTGACCCAGATGATCCTTGCTTGCTATCTGATACCAAGTCTTACTACAGTCCAAAACCTACTAGATAGCCTGCGTGGAAAGAGGTTGCCCTCTAAACCTTTCTGCAAAAGCCAGGAACAGTCTAGGTGAGGCTCTGAATGACTTTGTTCTGTCTAAACAAAAGGTCAATGCCCTCACCACATCTAGCCTTCGAAGCCTTGATTCTCCCAGGATGGAAGGAGGTTTGGGAAGAAAACTGGTAGATGGATAGATTGAGATGTAAATCAGACTACCTTAGAAAGGAACTTGGGTTAGGCCTAGGGATGATCTTATCCTTGTGACGTGTGGTGTACGGAGGACCTGCCTTGAGGGTCTGGACTTCTCCCACACTCTTAGTAACAAGTAACAAGCCACAAGAAAGACACCTTTCATGGAAAGACGGTACAAAGAGCAGGTTGCCATAGATTCAAATGGTGGGTCCCCATTAATCCAATGAGGACTAAGCTGAGGTCCCAAGAATGGGGGAGGCTCTCAGAGTGGAAAAGCATGGCTTCTTAGAATAGTGTTCATGCCCCAGGGAGAACCCCAGGGCCAGGGCTGATAGGAGGATACCAAGACGGAGAACCCCAAGAGAAACCCTGTCCTCTTTCTGTGTCCTCTGATGGAGTCATCTCTGGATTCCTATGGAGACCTGTATGGTGGGAAGGAGAGGGGTCTCCACTGTGCTCTGAGGAGGACAATGAAAAAGAGTAGGCCTCCACCAAAGGTGGAGCGGAGCTGTCCAGGAATCCATGCTGGATCCGGTGAATTAGGGGAGAAAGTCTGGTTGCTTGCACATAACATCGCTGAAGCACTCCAAACAAGACTCTGGGACTGCACCTATAGATCGAAGCCCTTCATGGGACCACCCAGTCTGTGCCGAAATATCCAGCACTGAGACAACCAGTGCTGCAAAGTCCATCGGTACCGTGAAGGTTGTGACTGGCCCTGAAGGAGAAGTGGTGGGTGCTGCAGTTTCAGCATGGAAGCTGGTGCAAGGGAACATGGCACTAGCACAACGTGACGCTGGTGGTAAAAAGTGCCGTCGTGCTCTTTGGAACCAGAATGGGACTCCAAGCTGCGACTCTTGGTGAATGAGGCCCCACGAGAAGTTTTAAGTCTCTTACTCAGGGCTGGTGAGGGAGCCCTGCTCCTAGATCCCCCCTGGAGCTGCGCTCGTTCCTCCCTCTCTCAGAAGTTACTGAGGTGGTAGGGGAGCGGTGTGGGCTCCATGGGCGGCGGGAGCACTGAAGCTGGAAGGTGAAGCAGGATCAGACTGACCCACGCTGAGTTTCTCTGAGGCAGAGGTTGGAGACTCCATGGACTTTTCAAGCAGGAGCAACTTAAGTCTCACCTCCCTGTTTTTAAGAGTCTGTTTGGAGAACGAGAGACATACAGAGCAGCGCTCTTATGCACTGTCTTCCAGGGAAAGAAGATAGTGGGAATGCTCATTGTTTATTAATGATCTGGATGATGGAATTAATTGCACCCTCAGCAAGTTCGCAGGTGACACTAAGCTGGGGGGAGAGGTAGATACGCAGGAGGGTAGGGATAGGGTCCAGAGTGACCTAGACAAATTGGAGGATTGGGCCAAAAGAAATCTGATGAGGTTCAACAAAGACAAGTGCAGAGTCCAGCACTTAGGACGGAAGAATCCCATGCACCGCTACAGACTAGGGACCGACAGGCTAAGCAGCAGTTTTGCAGAAAAGGACCTGGGGATTACAGTGGACGAGAAGCTGGATATGAGTCAACAGTGTGCCCTTGTTGCCAAGAAGGCCAAAGGCATATTGGGCTGTATTAGTAGGAGCATTGCCAGCAGATCGAGGGAAGTGATTATTCCCCTCTATTCAACACTGGTGAGGCCACACCTGGAGTACTGTGTCCAGTTTTGGTCCCTCCCCCTCACAGAAGGGATTTGGACAAATTGGAGAGAGTCCAGCAGAGGGCAACAAAAATGATTAGGGGGCTGGGGCACATGATTTATGAGGAGAGGCTGAGGGAACGGGGCTTATTTAGTCTGCAGAAGAGAAGAGTGAGGGTGGACTTGATAACAGCCTTCAACTACCTGAAGGGGGTTCCAAAGAGGATGGATCTAGACTGTTCTCAGTGATAGCAGATGACAGAACAAGGAGTAATGGTCTCAAGTTGCAGTGGGGGAGGTCTAGGTTGGATATTAGGGAAAACTTTTTCACTAGGAGGGTGGTGAAGCACTGGAATGGGTTACCTAGGGAGGTGGTGGAATCTCCTTCCTTAGGAGTTTTTAAGGTCAGGCTTGACAAAGCCCTGGCTGGGATGATTTAGTTGGGAATTGGTCCTGCTTTGAGCAGGGGGTTGGACTAGATACCTCCTGAGGTCTCTTCCAACCCTGAGATTCTATGATTCTATGGGCTTGGCAGAGTCACATGATGGCAGTAACTAAGCTAAGGATACGTCCTGTGGTTGAGGGATATGGATACCGCAGGGTTCCATCTCACAGCATTGAAGAGGAACTGAGCGATGGATACGGCTGCTCTACTCCATGTATCCCAAGCTACAGAGGTCACAAAACACACATGTAACCACAACAGACACTGCTATTCAAAAGGAATCTGATCTCAGGTATAGGGGGCGTATGTACACCTGGGGTGAAATCTGTGTGGCCACTAACTCAAAGACAAAATTGTTAATACTAAGGGTCTAATCCTGAAAGATGCAGAGCAACCATAACTCCCTCGGATTACTTCTGATACTTAGCGTGAGACTGGTATTTTACATCTCAATATGCATAAGGAACAGTGCGTAACTGATGTCCCAGGAGCAATGCAAGAAGTATGGAATTTTAGGAAGTCACAATTCTTTCTGGCTCAGAGGGAAAGTAACGTAATGTTCACCAGCCTCTTACTCAGTAATTATTTCACCCCTTTACATCAGACAGCACATGTGGAGTGTGGAACCACAGCTGCAGCTGTTCCCCTCCGAAGCGTGCGGGCAGGGAAGCAGTGTCTCCTTTGAACCCACACTCCCCACTGCACAGAGCAGGGATTCCTGTAAGCCACAGAGGAGAACAGGACTTTACAACCCCTTACTCCCCTATGCAGCCACCTTAAGAAAATGTTTCTTCCAAAACACAGTCCACAGATCCATTATGTGGGTACTTCAGTCTGCACTCAGCATGGGGGCAGACCCACACTTGTCAGTTACTGGCTGCATGAGAATCCCCTGCCAGCTGAAGCGCCCTCCAGTTGAGACAGCTCTCACAGGCAGATTAATTCAATTCTAATTTCCTACATTACAGATTTTGTTAACTACACCTTGAGGAAAAAGCACAACAATTTCGCCTACTGGAGGAACACAGGGAATTCCACCTAACAAAGTAAATCCAAACTTTTTGTCTATTTCCATCTCTAATCTGGATCACCTATTTGTCACAAGGACAGATTGAATCTCTGGACCTTTTTACTCAAAGAAAGGAAATGTTCATGTAAGCACAGAAAATTTTCCTGTTCTTCATCAAGCTTTGTCCACAGATCTGTTCCAATGGGATTTTCACAGTCATCTGCTTACACGGTGGGAAGGAGAACCATTCTTTAAACAAGGAAACTCAAAACAAGGAACATTATACATTTCCATCTTCCCCTAGTGTGATGGAGTGTGGGCCCCCCATGCTAGCCCAAAAAGGGTTCATGTGGCCCAAGAGTAAGTTAAGTAACCTGAGGGGCCACACCTGAGGGACATTTAGGCTTGATAAGCTATCCCTGACTGAGGATGGAGGCCAGCTGAGCAGGAGGGGGCTGGTATAAGGCCAATTAGCAAAGGCAGGAGGAGGCTGCAGCGTGGAAGCCTGTAATCATTCTCTGGGCTTAGAGAGGAAAAAGGAGAAAACAAGCAGAACCCCTGGGATCTTGGCCCCGAGGAAGGTGGTGTAGAAGGAAGCTTGGTAGAGGTGAGTGGGAAAAGACTCAGGGAAATGGCAGCAAGGTTTGGGACTGTGCAGACTTTGGTTGCTGACTCGAAGGTCTCTGAGCTGGAACCTGTAGTAGAGGGCGGGCCTGGGTTCCCCTACAGCCATGGGGGAAGTGGCAGAGTCTGGGCAGTGAATTGGAAGACTGCCTGAGACAATTCTTACAGAGAGCTTTTGATACTGCAGAAGGGGGAAAGACGCATAGTGACCTGGCCGGAAGGCCAAGCCATGAAGAGAGAGCATCCCAATTCTCAAAGAGGAAGCACTGTAACTCCTGGAGCATGAGAGGGGCCGCTGCATGCGCAGAGACAGAAGGGGGCACCATGCCAGTCACAGCTATTCCCCAGATGCAGCCACAATGAGGCGACCCAGTGGTGAGAAAAGAAACCCGTGACCCCTGGGCCCTAACGCATGGAGAAAAATTCTGCCCCAAAATGGCATTGGCTAAAGACTGGCTGGCCAATATGTAAAATTTGGTGAATTTATGAACTTGTGGACATTTGCCCACATAGCAGATTTCAATACATGAGAATTGACTTCTCCAGCCTGAGACTATCAGCACTTCTAGGAACTGAACTTTGATGTTCAAAATAAATAATATTTTTGAACATACTCGGGGAATGAGTGCTACGACAGGACTACCTGTCAGAACTAAAAGAACAATATTGGGTCTAATCTGAGAAAGCTCCTAATTTCAAAAGCAGACACAGTAGCTCTTGGGAGGTGCCTAATGGCCAGGAAGAATAAGGATACTGCCCAGCAGGGGTTCAATCTGGATAATTCCATAAGAGGCAGAATGAAGGTCCAAGGTTTTGGTCTATGACCTTGAGAGTCTGGAATAAGGTTGTTGCCCTAAGGAAGCGTTTAATGTTGGGATTTGTACAAAGTGACCTTTTCTTCAACATGCTGGTAACATCATAGTACAGAGCCGTGACCTTTTGGCTTGGACATTGGTATATCCACATTAAGGCCCTCCTGAAAGAACTCAAAGCTAGGTTTTACTTGAATTAACATGATACTTAAACTATGGACCATGCAGAACTATGGAGGTCTGTGGACCTCAGCATGATGAAGGGCAATTGACCATATTGCCTTTAATTTGAAGTCAAAGCAGGAAGTGAGACTACTGGGCTCCCTTGCCAGAGGTTATTTGCAGACTACACATTTTACATGCAGAAAGAAAACCATATATAATTTTAAGAATGTTTACATTTAAGATATCTGCACTGACATTCCTCGGGTTCCAATCCTCCACTACCAAGAGAACTCAAAAATCAACGAGAGTGAAAAACAAAATGAATCAGAAAGGAAGTAAGAATTTAAACTGAACATACGCAGTGTTTCTATCAGAATTTGTCTTTGAAAATAATTTTTGCTTTTTAATAGCAGTCCAGGGATATGTCCACTAGAAAAAAAATTACTATAAAATAAAAAGGAAATAAGATTAAAATAGAACTACAGAAAAAAATCACTTAGATGTTTTAAAAAACACACAGCAGTAAGATTAGAATAGAAGATGATTAGTCCATGTCTATATTAAAAATGAAAATCATCTATGAAAAGCTGTTAGAGGTTTAATGATTTTACTGGGGAACTCCTTTAGAAAGCTCACAATGTTTTATTCAAGCTAAACCTACCTCTCCTATCTAGAATTATGGTTTAAGCATAGGTCTGTAGGTAGGCTTCTTTTTAAGAAACAGACTTGCAACATACTGACAGCTCTTCTGGGGAATCCTATGCAGAGTTTTAAAACGATACTTCTCACTACTTTAATAGCTCTGTAATCCAGACTATTAATATGACTAAGTATAGCGTTATAAATAAAGACAGTGAATATACAACAAGGTGTCTGCCATTTTTGGGCAGAGACTGCTTTTTAAATAAAATTTACTTCTTCAACATGAGAAACAGACTTTCTCCATAGGCAAATGTATCCAAAAGAAAAAGAAAAAAAAATACAAAGAAAGAGACACAATGCACTCTTGAGCAAAAACACTGCAAACTGAGTTTAATGCTACTGCAAATGTTTCTGGGCATGTTTTAAATCCCTTGACTCTAATGGTTAATTGATTTGTCAGTGCTGAAAAATCAATAGCCTGCAGAGCATTATCAAGTACCATTGTAATAAAAGTTTTAAAAGTAACTTTGTTAAATGCTTTGGGGAATATCTGTTTAATACAACTACATTAACTGACAAAAGGTAGAGAGCAGCAGATAGACATAACTATAAAAATCAAACGGTACGCGAATAAGTGAGAACAATTAGAATTTGTACCTGTTCTCACTACTATGGCTTTGACTCGTTCTCCAGTATAAAAACGGGTTTGAATGACATTGGTCCCACAGAACAAAGTGTGTCGCTTATGTACTTCTGGACTGTATATTTCATCTCCCATTGCTTTTGGGTCTTCTGCAGGATTTGGGAGATTAGTCTTTGTTACAGGAACACTTTCACCTTAAATGGAAAAAAAGTTCTTCAGTTCATCCAAATCAAATACAAATAATAAGCACTTCTCATCCATAGCTCTCAAAGCACTTTCTAAAATAGTGAGTGCTATCCCCATTTTAAAACAGAGAAATAAAGTGATCTGCTTAAATTAACTCAGCCAGGCAGTAAAGCTGGGAAACGAACCCAGGAGTCCTAATTCCCATTATCCCATTCTGTAACCTTCTAGACCTCCCACAGAAACCAAGACTCTTGCGCCCAGTCTTCCCTCCTCTAAATCACTACACCAGTTAGCAAAACATGAAAATGCTGCTGCTTGTAGCACTGAAGGTAAAATATAAAAACCTATCAAACAATAAATGTAACTGTTGCTGTAAAGAGTCATTTGATACAGGCAAGGCTACCTATAGTAAGCTTTGCTAGCATATGTTCCTACACGCACCTTTATCCAGTTTTGATCAGTGGCTTGCTAATTATTCATGTAGCAATTTCAACACTTATAAACAAAAACAAAATACGATAGTGTCTAGCAATTAAACATGACCCAGATCGAAACCAGTACTCATCTTGCCTAAAGGAAAGGCGACCCAAAAGCTTTGTACGGATGTCTCTTTTCGTACGGGTCACACTTTAAGACATTACATTTGAGAATTCTTAAACTCTCAGCTTGCAGATTCCTTACTTAACAGAAACATGCTTATTTTAACTAAATAGTGAAAATAGAAGAGAGGTAAATAAGAACAGTGAGATGAAGACACCTCCTCATTACCCCATTAATTATACAAATATAGGCCCTGATCTGGTTGGCTTATAAGAAGTACAGTACCACAATATAAATACTTATTAAATAATATTAATATTGCCAAGATTTGTATAAATACTATCAATACCGTCTTGAGTACATTATAAAAATACACATTTCAGGGTATGTAAACAAATTCCTTCTCATAAGGTAAGCTGCAAGTCAGAAAAAGAACAGTGACATAACTTTATCAACTAGCATTTTTAGCCACATTGCTCAGCCACCCAGGATGTAAATTTTACTTCACCTGTTAACATGCTTTCATTTACGATGCAAGTACCACTGACAAGTACTGCATCACAGGGCATGATTGTCCCATTAGATGGAATCACCATGATGTCTCCAGGCACAAGGTCTGTGGAAAGGATCTCTTCTATTTCTGAAAGTAAGGTAAAAATTTAAGAACAAGCTCTTTTTCTGCAACTGTAAATAAAGTCTTGTAAATCAGCACCAGCAACAGACTCCTACATGGATGTAACAGCCATGGCCCAGGCTACAACAATTATGCTGTTTCTATTAACAGTATAACTTAAAATGATTAAACTAATGATTCACTAACTCTCTGTATGGACCCTTGATTTTACACTGATGGTGCCTCAGAAATAATACAAACAATTTGTCACACAAGGAACCTAAGGCAGTTCAAGACTTCTGTTCCCCACATAAGAGCAGCCACGCTGGGTCAGACCAAAGGTCCATCTAGCCTAATATCCTGTTTTCCAACAGTGGCCAATGGAAGGTGCCCCAGAGGGAATGAACAGAACAGGTAATCATAGAATCAGAACTGGAAGGGACCTCGAGAGGTCATCTAGTCCATTCCCCTGCACTCATGGCAGGACTAAGTATTATGTAGACCATCCCTGACAGGTGTTTGTCTAATCTGCTCTTAAAAATCTCCAATGATGGAGACTCCACAACCTCCCTAAGCAATTTTTTCCAGTGCTTAACCACCTGTCAGTTAGGAAGTTTTTCCTAATGTCTGACCTAAACCTCCCTTAGTGCAATTTAAGCACATTGCTTCTTGTCCTGTCCTCAGAGGTTAAGAAAAACAATTTTTCTTCCTCCTCGTAACAACCTTTAACATACTTGAAAACTTATGTCCTCTCTGTCTTCTCTTTTCCAGAATAAACAAACCCAATTTTTTCAATCTTCCTTCATAGGTCATGTTTTCTAGACTTCTAATCATTTTTGTCGCTCTTCTCTGGACTCTCTCCAATTTGTTCACATCATTTCTGAAATGTGGTGCCCAGAACTGGACAAAATACTCCAGCTGGGACCTAATTAGCGCAGAGTAGAGCGGAAGAATTACTTCTCGTGTCCTGCTTACAACACTCCTGCTAATACAGCCCAGAATGATGTTTGGTTTTTTTGCAACAGCGTTGCACTGTTGACTCATATTTAGCTTGTGGTCCACTATGACCCCCAGATCCTTTTCCGCAGTACTCCTTCCTAGGCAGTCATTTCCCATGTTGTATGTGTGCAACTGATTGTTCCTTCCTAAATGGAGTACTTTGCATTTGTCCCTATTGAATTTCATCCTATTTACTTCAGACCATTTCTCCAGTTTATCCAGATCATTTTGAATTTTAATCCTATCCTCCAAAGCACTTGCAACCCCTCCCAGCTTGGTATCGTCCGCCAACTTTATAAGTGTATTCTCTATGCCATTATCTAAATAATTGATGAAAATATTGAACAGGACTGGACCCAGAACTGATCCCTGCGGGACCTCACTCGTTATGCCCTTCCAGCATGACTGTGAACTACTGATAATTACCCTCTGGGAATGGTTTTCCAACCACCTTATAGTAGCTCCATCTAGGTTGCATTTCCTTGTTTGTTTATGAGAAGGTCATGCGAGACAGTATCAAAAGCTTTACCAAAGTCAAGATATACCACATCTACCGCTTCCCCCCATCCACAAGGCTTGTTACCCTGTCAAAGAAAGCTATCAGGTTGGATGGACATGATTTGTTCTTGACAAATCCATGCTGACTGTTACTTATCACCTTATTATCTTCTAGATGTTTGCAAATTGATTGCTTAATTATTTGCTCCATTATCTTTCCGGGTACAGAAGTTAAGCTGACTGGTCTGTAATTCCCCGGGTTGTCCTTATTTCCCTCTGTATAGATGGGCACAAGATTTGCCCTTTTCCAGTCTTCTGGAATCTCTCCCGTCTTCCACTACTTCTCAAAGATTATCACTACTGGCTCAACTATCTCCTCAGTCAGCTCCTTGAGTATTCTAGGATGCATTTCCTCAGGCCCTGGTGACTTGAAGACATCTAATTTGTCCAAGTAATTTTTAACTTGTTCTTTCCCTATTTTAGCCTCTTCTGATCCTACCTCATTTTCACTGGCATTCACTACATTAGACGTCCAATCACCACCAACCTTCTTGGTGAAAACCGAAACAAAGAAGTCATTAAGAACCTCTGCCATTTCCACATTTTCTATTATTATTCTCTCCCCTTCCCCCCATTAAGTAACGGGCCTACCTGTTACTCAATGAAGGACCATCAAGTGATCCATCAATGAGGATAATCAAGTGATCCATCCCGTCGCCCATTCCCAGCTTCCGGCAAACAGAGGCTAGGGACACCATCCCTGCCCATCCTGGCTAATAGCCATTGATGGACCTATCCTCCAGGAACTTATCCAGTTCTTTTTTGAACCTTGTTATAGTCTTGGCCTTCACAACATCCTCTGGCAAGGAGTTCCACAGGTTGACTGTGCGTTGTGTGAAGAAATACTTCCTTTTGTTTGTTCTAAACCTGCAGCCTGTTCATTTAATTTGGTGACCCCTAGTTCTTGTATTATGAGAACCACGCCAGCAGAACCTGGAACAGTTGGTGATGTGGCTGCCAAAGGAGGTTACAGCCCTGCTCTGATTCACTGAAAGGTACTAAAAAATGTCTCCCCATGGGGTTTCTATTTTTATCCTCTAGGCCAGAAGTAGGATATTGCAATGTTAGCTATATGCATGGAGAGGTACATAAAAGAAAATGGGGGAGGGACACGAGGGGCTTGTCTAGATCTGTTCCAGCATAAATACTGAGCTGATCATCTGGAAAAAGACACTCAAGTAGATTATCTTCTCCAACTTTTAACTTCACACCTGTCCCTTTTCCTGAGCAATGTTGCTAAGAGATCACAGGGACCTAATTACTTTAATCATACTTTAAACTATTCATTAAGGACCAGTTTTAGATTTATCTTTTCAACCAGGGAAACTTACCTTGATTTGCTCTGCTGACAGAAACTCTGACAATGCTGTGAGCTGCCACCATGTCATGTAACATAATATATTGCTGGAAGGGGGGAAAAAGAACAAGTCACTAATTAGAAGCACTAACAGCCTTCTAGATCCATAGAGAGACAAGGTGGGGGAGATATCTTTTATCGGACCAACTTCTGTTGGTGAGAGACACAAACTTTCAAGCTTACCCAGAGCTCTTTATGTTTAGCAGAAGGAGCTAACATGGAATTCAAGGGACTATTCAAGGTGAAGTGGCTCTTTCCCCCCATGGCTGGGGAGGTGTTAAAGGAAGTGGGAGGGTGGCAGCTGGGGGGTGGGGGGGGGCGAAGAATGCTTGTTAGTGGGTTACAGATTGTTGTAATAAGCCATAAATCCAGCGTCTCTGTTCAGTCCATTATTTGTAGTATCTAGCAGGATTATGAATTTAAGTTCCCAGACTCATATTTTGAAGGTGTTGTGCAAGTTTCCTTTGAGGATGAGGACTGATAGGTCACATATAGAGCGATGACTTTGTGAAGTGTTACTGGTGATAGAAAAATGATGAAAGACAAAAACACCCTATGAGAGTTTATTAGAGTACACAGCGATTGTCTGGTTTCACCCACATAGTTGTTATTTGAGCATTTAGTGTACTGGATGAGGTACACCACATGTTGTCATGAGCATGTGTAGGACCCATGGATCTCGAAAGGCGTGTTGAGGTGAGTGTTGAGCATCGTAGCAGTGGAGATATGACTGCAGGTTTTGCATCTGTTGTTCTGGCAGGGTCTGGTGCCGCTTTGAGTTGGTGTGTCCTGATCTGTGAGGAGCTTGCTTCTGACGAGGAGCTTGGAGAGGCTGGGGGGTTGTTTGAAGTCGAGGTTCAAGAAAGATTTCTTTCAGGATCAGGACCCCATCGAGCATGGGTTGTAGTTGTTTGAGGACACCTCATACGGATTCCAGCGTGTAGTGGTAGGAGGGGTTTTATTTCTGTATTGAAGCAGGTTCTCTTGGGGTATTTGGATGGCCTATTTCATGACGTGATCTACTTCTCTTGTGGAGTGTCCTTGTTTGGTGAAGGTAGCTTTGTGTGTGTTAAGGTGTATATCCTGGACTTTCTCCTCAGAGCATATTCTGTGGTATCTGAGCGCCTGGCTGTAGATAACAGATTCCTTGGTGTGTTTGAGGTGGTTACTGGATCTGTGATGGAGGTGTGGTGATTCGTGGGTTTCTTATATATAGTTGTCTGTTGGGTTCCATTGTTGAAGCTGACTGTCGTGTCTAGGAAGTTGATGCTCATGTGGAAGTGCTCCAGTGAGAGTTTGATGGACGGGTGGTGGTTGCTGAAGTTGTGGTGGAAATCTTGAGGGAGTTTAAACGGTCTGCAGAGAGGACGAAAATATCATCCATGTTCCTCAGGCATATTATTGGTTTCATGGTCCGTTTGTCCAGAAATTCTTCTTCAAGGTGGCCCATGAAGAGACTGGCATATTGGGAGCCATCCTACTACCCATGGTTTGGACAAAGTGACTGTTGTTGAATGGAAAATTGTTGAGGGTGAGGATGAAATTAATGAGTTTGGCGATGTGTTTGGGGTGAATATCTGAGGGTTGTCCATTGTCCTGTAAATATCTGAGGGAAGCAGTCATGCCGTCATTGTGAGGGATGTTGGTGTATAGGGAAATGACATCCATGGTAGAGAGGATGGCGCTCTGAGGAACACTGTTAATGTTGCAGCGTTTGTGAAGGAAGTCGGTTGTACCCTGGAGGAAGCTCGCCATTTGTGTGGTCAGTGGTTTGAGGATGGTTTCTATGAGTCCTGACATTCCTTCAGTGAGAGTGCTGTGGCCAGATAGGAGGGGTCTTCCTGGGTTCCTTTGTTTGTGTGTCTTTGGAAGCATGTAGAAGGTTCGGGGGTGGGTTCTTGGGGAATGAGTTTGTAGAGTTTCTCTTGGAGTTGTGTGTGGAAAGATTTGATGATATCTTTAAATTCCTGGGTAAACTGGGGTGTGGGTTCTTCTCTGAGTTCTTTAGAGTAGGTATGATGGAGAGTTGTCGGTTGAAACTGCATGTTGTAGATCCATACTCTATCAGACCACAGAATAAGCTTCTTTAAATGACCTTGAACTGCATAGTACTATGGGATCCGTTCATATAGAATATTTTAGGAAATGGATTTGGACCAAAAAACCTGGAATGTGTCAACCTTTAAGGAGCAGTGCAAGGCCCATATTTTTACCCAGGCTTCTAGAGAGGGAGTGCAAATTCACTGAATAAATGCTAATTAAAGCTGATCAGAAATTTTCTGATGAAACTTTGCTTCCTCAGAAAACACCGATTTGTTGAGCCCAATATATTTGGGTTCAATGACATTTCAGCGAATCCAAGGCAGTGTTTCCACAGCAGGGCGCTGGTGACCCCAGTGCTGCCAGGTTCACAGCGCCAGGGCAGACCCACCAGGGGACTGCCTTAGAGCCACAGACTTTGGCATTTCTAGATCTGTGGCTCAGGGCACACCTGCCATGCCAGGGTTTCCAGGTTCCCTACTGCAGAGCCGGGAGCCTGGCAATCCTGGAAGCCTCAGGCTCCCAACTCTGGACTCCAGGGGTATTGCTACACTGCAATAAAACACCACGGCTGCCCCCTGTAAGCGGACTTGGGCTCGCAGGACCGGAACAGCTACAGAGCCCGAACGTCTACACTGCAGTTTGACAGTTCTGCAGCCTGAGCCCCAGGAGCCCGAGTCAGCTGGAGGGGTTTTACTGCAGTGTAGCCATCGGCCTGGAGACCCGGTGTCGTCCCTGGCTGGGCATGGCATGGCTGCTCCAGGGCTGCAGGCTGCCAGAGCCCGCGCTGCTGAGTGAAACTGACATTGTCAGTTTCATAGCTCTTCACCCAGCAGCTTCAGTCCTGGGGAGTAACAATCAAAATTAATTTTGGGGTTTTTTTGTTTGTGAGAAAACTAAAAATTTCAATTGTGGCTTGACCCAAACTGATTTTATCATCATCATATTTTTCGGTTCAGCACCCAAACTGAAAAATGAATTATCCTCTCTGCTCTAATTCTAATGCAAACATCATACTCGCTAATTTATATACATTTTAAAAATGCGGAGTTTGATTGTGAACTTTAAATGCTGCTCTTTTAAAAAAAACCAAGTCTTCTCTGACCTTGAATTATTGAGCATTGCTTTGAAATGGTTCCATGGTAGTTCTGTCTTCAGTCAAGACTTCCTGACTCTGAATTCAGACTCCCACAAACTATATTATAATCTCATTAATCTCAACTTCAGTAAACTGCAACCCCCAACTCTGCACTGAAAGTGCATCACCAGATTTGCAGTTCACTGTGCAACAGTGCTGAGGCTCAACCCCCTTCATTCTCTCTTCCAAGGAGGAGGAGTCCATACAAGGTGGAGCAACCAGTATCAGTGTTGTAATGAACTCTGAGACTGAACTAGGAGTTGTAGTGTCATTCCTCCCTTTGGCCAACAGGAAATAAACATCCATAACGACCCAACCCCAAGGCCACATGTTTTTCAGTTTTCAGAGT